GGTGGCGGCGGAGGGGGGCGGGGAGGGGGGCGGGGCGGGGGGCGGGGCGGGGGGCGGGAGGCGTGTGCGCCGTGCCACCGGCGCGCCGCGGGAGGAGGGGGAGGAGGAGGAGGAGGCGGAGGAGCTGTCGCTGCCGCCGGGGTCAGTGGCATGGGTGCTGGAGCCGGCGAGAGGGCGGGGCCATTTCGCTGCACGAGCTGAGATTCGCCGAGATTCGCCGAGATTGGCCGAGAGTAGGCGAGAGGGCGGGCCTTCTCGCTGTACAAGTCGCGCGCGGCGCTGGAGGGTCGGCTCGAGGCGCTCGGGGCCGCTACTAACCCTGACCCTAACTATAACCACTAACCCTAACCCTAACCACTAGCCCCTTCCCTAACCCTAACCCTGACCATAACCATAATCATAACCATAACCATAACCACAGCCCCTAACCCCAGCCCTAACCCTAACCCTAACCCTAACCCTAACCCTAGCCCTAGCCCTAGGCGCTCGGCGCCGCCGTCGTGCGGCGCGGCTCGCGCGTTGGCAAGTCTGAGGTGACGCTGATGCTAGCACCCCAGACCTGTTTGGGTAGTCTGAGGTGACGCTGATGCTAGCACCCCAGACCTGTTTGGGGTCCGACCTTCGCCCCCCCTCAGTAGCCTGGCGTCGGTTTGGCGTCGGTGATGGTGCTGCTTCTTGCACAAGAGTCGCTCACGGCTACTGCTACTAGGTGACGCTGATCGTAATCGCGGAGGGGGCGGAGGTGCTTAGAAGCGGAACGCGGATTCTTGTCTCCCAACCAGCGCTCGAGAGGACACGCACTCCGCTGTACTCGACCGTATTCCTCTGTAATCGACCGCCTTCCGCTGTGTTCGCTGTATTCGCCACCCCTGCACAACACCCCGCCTTCCCTCCCCTCACGCTGTCGCCTTCACTGCGCAGGCGGAGGCAGGCGGTGTCTCCACCTCCCTCTGCCCGGCGGCGCGCGTGGTGCGCGAGTCGTGGGTGGCCAAGCGCTCTCTCGCCCTCAAGGCGGGGGCGGCTGCCCGATCTCGGCTCATCTCGGCTGGCCTCGGCTCATCTCGGCTCATCTCGGCTAACATCTTCGCCCTCAAGGCGGGGCGGCTGCCTCCTCCGCCGCCGCCACCAAAGCTGACGAGGAGCACGCCCTCTAAGCGGCGCGCGGCTCCGGAGGCGGCGGGCGGCGGCGAGAAGCGGGCGAAGCGCGCGCGCGGGCCTTCTGCGGCGGCGGCGGCGCGGATGGAGCGAGCGCTGTCGGAGCGGCTCTACTTGGTGGAGCGGCGCGACGCGTCCTCGTCCTCGCCCTCGGGGCTGGTGCGCGCGTGCGGCTCCTCGTCGTATGCACAGCCTTCCGTTGGCGCGCCCACGGCGGTCTTCTGATTCAGGTGCGTCTGCGGCACGACTTCGTCGTCCTCGGGTCTACCGGCAACGTGTACACCGCCTCCGTCAGCCAGCTTCCCTCGTGCTCCTGCGTCGACTTCCGAGAGCGGTCGACGATCTGCAAGCACCTCCTCTTCATCTACGTCAAGGTGCCGCCGCGTGGCCTCTTCGCCCGATCTCGGCTCATCTCGGCAAACCTCGGCTCATCTCGGCGCATCTCGGCGCATCTCGTCCCCGATGCGAAAAGGTGTTGCGCGTGCCCCGCGACTCGCTCCTCCCGCTGCAGCGGGCGCTGCTCCGCACAGAGCTTGCCCAGATCTGGGCGGTGGCGGCAACGAGGGCGACGACCGCGGCGGCGGCAGCGCGGTGCCGGAGGAGGCCATTGCGAGCGAGGCGGTGAGGGAGGCGTATGGACGGCGGCGCGGCGCGGCGATCGGTGGGGGGGAGGTGCTCCCGCTCGTTGGGTCGGGGGAGGGGGCTGGGGGCCTTCCTTGGGTGGAGGCGCGTCCGCGCGACGGTGAGCCGTGCCCCACCTGCTGATATCAGTGAGTGGTGACGTGCACGACTCTGAGGAGTGACTCATACTAGGCGAGCTGTGCCCCATCTGCTTTGACGCGCTCGCGGACGATGCGCCCGAGGCGGCGATAGCGGAGCTGGTGCGGGCGGCGGCGCAGGCGGCGAGCGGGGCGGGGCCTTCCGCAGGCGGCGACAGCCCGCCTTCGCCGCCCCCGTGTACGCATTGCGCGCACGGGTGTGGCCGGAACTTCCACGCCGCTTGCTTGCGGCGCTGGTCGATCGCTCGCCGGGCCACGGGCAGGCGGCTAGAGTGCCCTGCATGCCGCGCAGCGTGGCGGAGGGACGACCCGGCGCTGCCGCGCGACGAGGAGGTCGCGGCCGCGGAGCAGGCGTCGGAGGCGGCGGGCAGCCGCGACGAGGGCTACCTCAACCTCGCCGCTCTGGTGCCGGGCACCGCCGCTGCACGGGACACCTCCACCTACTCGCCTTGGCTGGAGGTGCACCAGAGGCGCCGCGAGCGTGCAGAGATGCTGGGGTCTCCGCCTTGAGTGAGCTGTGAGCAGTGAGCTGCGAGGGTGAACGGTCTCCCGGCCCGCGGGCACACATTTAATTCAGATTGTAGTTGCTATGTATCCCGCCCGAGGGGTTGACAACGCCGGTTGTGAAAGACGACAGCGTGAGGGAGCCCCATTCCAGCCGCGCGCGCCTCTAGGTGATATGAGATGCTGTTTGTAGGTATATGTACCCACGACGAAAAAAGGGGAGGTGATCAGACATGCCACTGAGACGGTGACGCCGTGCTACGAACACTACGGACAGAAAAAAGTGTTTCGGGACAGAAAAGTGTTTCGAGAAGTGTGGGGTGCCGCGGTAGGGGGGGGGTCTCTCGCGCTCCCAGCACCGCATCTCGCCGCCCCTCTCATCACCGGAGAGAGTCGGGGGAAAAAGTCACAGAGAGGCGACCGACCGTTACGTTCCGCGCTGGGAGCTCTGGCAACAGCGACATGCCCGCTGCCGTTGCAGGCCGGAACTACGAGACGGTGCTCGCGGCCAGGGGCAGCAGGGGCGAGTCGGGCGTCGAATGTTCGGGGCTCATCTGCCCCTCGCCGATGGCGTCACGAGAGTAGGAGGCGTACCAGTCAACTGCAGGTGGTGAGCCGAGACCTGCCTCCACGGGCGCCGTCGCAAGAGCGGACATGGAAGCTGAAGGCATCGAGCTGACGAGGCTGCGCGGGAAAAGGGTGGGGAGGGCGGTGGGAAGCGAGCTAGAAAACGTCTGAGGTGGTTGACCGAACGAGTGGCTCTAGGCTCTGGACAGCGACCTGTCAATGGCGGAGGGCGACACCACTGCCTCGAGCACACGCCCCTCGAGGAGCTTGAGGTCAAGCTTCAGGCCCGTGGCGGCACCCCGCTCGCCGCAACCGCCGGGCAGATTTGCATAGGGCGATGGCACGAGTTTCATGGGCCCCACCGCCGACAGGTTAGCCTCGCCGGTCGTCAGCGGTGGAGCCCCAGCAACGGCCTCGTCGGAGGACAGCGCCCACAAGGGGAACTTGCTCTCGCCGTCGGGCGTGTTCGGCTCCTTAGTCTCGCGCATCAGCAGCTGGATGATCTTTTCCCTCCTCTCGCCGTCCTCTGTCGCGCACGCCAGCTGCGTTGCCAACTGAAGGATGCGCTGCCTCTTGCGGTGCGCCTGCGAGAGCGATGTGCGAGGGCGCGAGTTATCAGCGCGGGCTCAGAGGCCAAGGTGCTCTGCATAGGGCGCGCCTCTGCCTCTGCCTCCTCGTCAATGAGGGGGGTCGTGCCCACAGGGGTGTCCGGCGTGGCCGAACCTGCGTCCGTCTCTCCTTCCGCAAGACCGGGGCGCGTCGTCCTCACTTTACTCGGGCCCCTCTTGCTGGAAGCCTCCGCTGCTTGCGCCGCCCCCGCCGCCTTTTCTGCGAGGCCACTAGCGCGGCTGTCGGCAGGGTTCGCCTCACCCGGCCGCTTGCGCTTGCAGGCGACGACGCTGGCGGCAGCGAAGCGCGACGACGGTACTCGCGACACAGACGCGGCCACGGCAGCCTGTGCGCTCGCCTTTGCTGCGGTCTGTGCCACGATGACGGCTGCTACACTTGTGCCGGCATTCTGCGGGTGGTGGCCAGATGGAGGTGAGCAGCGATTTGGGGGGGGGGGGGGGGGCAACCTGTGGTGTAAGGGGGGAGGGGCTCTAGCGGCGCGTATCATGGGCTCCCAAAGGGGGGGGGGGGGGCTAACAACGAGCTGTGGGATAAAGGGGAAGAGGAGATGGGGCGGCCGGGGCGCTCCTGTGCGAGCACCCTCCGCTCTGCTCGCTGGAGCCGGCGGCGGTTGGAGTTGTAGCGGTTTTTGATGGCATTGTCGGTCCTGCCTGGCAGCCGCTTTACAATCTCCGACCACTTGGTACCGATCTCGGCCACCCCCTGCTCAATGATCTGGTCCTCCTCTGCGGTCCATTCCCCCTTCTTCACCTGGGGTGCGATAGTATTTGCTGGCGAGGGTGAGAGGCAGATCTATCGCCTGGACGCGGCGATCGGGGTGGAGGTAGCAACTTCAATCCCCACGGCGTAAGGCTCGGGGCCTGTCGGCTGTCGGCGTGGGTAGCAGGCGGCTGGGCGGGCGGAAGTCACCTCTGGGCACAGGTGGTTGAACCAACGCTCGCGGCACTGCTTGCCGACCCGGCCGTCCATCTGGGAGGCAATCAGCGACCAGCGCTGCGCCCCCAGCCTGCCCACCACTTCCATCAGCAGGCGGTCCTCGTCCTCTGCCCACGCGCGTTTGACCTGCAGCAGTGAGCGGTTGCAGCTGTGAGAGTGGCGGCTTCCGAGGCAGTGGATGCAAGCGTGGCAAGACGGCAGGGTGTGGTAGGCGTCAGATCGGACAGCTGTGACTGCTAGTTGGCGGCGGCGGATGCTGGCGCCGTGGCGAGTCGGCAGGCTCGCACTGGCAGCAACGGCAGCGGAAGCTTGTGTGAGTGGGTCAGGGGGGCGCTCACGTTGGTTGTGCCACGCGAGAGCCGTCCGTCCATATCTGCGTCGGCGAGGTCTGTGTCGGCGATCTGGTCCTCGAGGTGGGCCTCGTCGATCGCGGCGACCTCCGTCGAGGCGGCTGGAGAGGGAACGAGCATCACGGGCGCGGCGACCACGACCATGGAAGCCGAGAGAGCGAAGCGTTGCACAATCTCGCGGGCGTTACCCGTGCGTTGGGAGCGAATCGCCCGCCACTCCTATCACTGGGCCAAACTTGGAGGTGGCAATATAGAGACAACTCAAATCTTCTTCCTCGAAACCCGGCGCCGCCGGCGTCGGCCGAATCAGCCCGGCGCTGGCCGTGGCGTGAAGCGTCGAAAGCGGGCCGGGGAGAGGAGAGGATGGGAGGGAGGGATAAGTCTTACTTAAACCATAAGATTGTCATTTACTTTTATTTGGCTGTAACCAGGTTTCCTCGTCGCTCGTGTCGCTCGCGCACCCCGTCTAGTTTCGTTTCTTTGTTTCCCTGTACAGCACCCTCTCGTTTCCTCTCTGGTTTCCGGGGGAAACTCTGTGGAAATCATCAATTTTCCGGGCTCTGAGCCGAGTCTTAGGCTGGTTTGGGCCCCCAAAAGTGGCAAAATCAGCCAAATCGGAAAAATACCGGGTCTGCCTTGGAAAATACCCAGGAATACACCCGCGTATTTTGCCGGAGCACTTGGAGCACTTGGAGTGCAGTCATTAGCCTCACATCCAGGGCCGGGGAGCTAAGAACCGCACCCAGCGGGCCGGATGATCGGGATCGGGCTACGGGCTAGAGAGCCCTGACCCCTAGGGGGGTGCGCGTTCGCAGGGAAAAGGGCCGTAAAGTAAACACGGGTCTCCGAGGGTTAGTTCCGTGTACCGGGTTTACCCTTAACTGCAGAACGCCCCCTCTACTCGGAGCTAACGGACACACAACACTGTACTCCACGCACGTACACGGATACGCCTCATGTGCGCCCGCCCGACTCCGGTCCCAGAGTCCCTTCCTTCGCCCGTCAGGGCGAGCCCTCGGCTCGTCCCGGTCCCTTGCTCGCCTTCCCGGCGTTACCATGGTTTCCTCGATTTTCATTTGCCTCAGATTTTGCCCGAGACCAGCTCTCAGAACTTAGTCACAGGGAAACTCTCTCTCAGACTGGCATGTCCGCTCCGAAGTAGAGGGGGCGTTCTGCTGCAGGGGAAACGCAAAAAGCGCGGAGCCTCCTCGGAGACCCGTGTTTACCTTATGGGATGGCCCTTCCCTGCGAACGGGAACGCGCACCCCCCAGGGCTAGGGCTCTCTAGCCCGTAACCCGACACCGATCATCTGGCCCGCTGGGTGCGCTTCTTAGCTCCCCGGCCCTGGCGCCTGGGTGTAAGGTTACCGACTGCACTCCAAGTCGCAAGTGCTCCAAGACTTAGTCACAAGAAAACTCTCGAGTGTCGAGAGTTGCCAGAATGGAGCACCAAACACCCTTCAGTTTCCCTGGAAATCGTTCCGGAAACGACCGACCCGAGGTGTCAGTTGGGGTTTTGGGGTGACGGGCAGACGCGTGTCTCGCGTCCACCCATACACCGCGTTGGTGTCCAGTCCGTTGTGTCCGAGCGCTGGGCCTGGGGCTGGGCTCGGTCCGGCTGCTCACAGAAATGTGTTTTCTCGCGAGTTGAGAGAAGCGGGCCTCGGATTGAAAATTAGAACACCATAAATAAAAATAAAACGCGGAAAACCCTCTACTGTGAGATGGGTAAAATAAAAAAACAGGGCCCCGCCCGAAAATTTGTACGACCGCGCGGTCTACGCGCTCTATCCAGCGGCCAGCTTTCAACAAGTGAAGAAGTCGGCAGCGCCTAGCGTTGCCCTCACGATCGCCTCCAGCTCTCTGACGGAGCTCGCCTAGCGAGGGCGCAACACACTGAGAGATCAAGCCGCGGCAGCTCCCTCACGCTCTCCGAGTGCATGCCACGCGCCTCGCGCCTCGCACAGCGAGCTGAGATTAGCCGAGATTAGCCGAGATTAGCCGAGATAAGCCGAGGTCCGCACGCCTCGCACAGCGCCATCCGGAGCTGCGGCGCCGTGTACGGACCAAGATGGTCGAAAGTGCAGCGGTGCCCCTTGCCGCTCCTACAGAAGAAGGCACTCGCATGTCTGCAGAGAAGAAGCGCTCGAGGGTTCTGCGGTGCCCCGTGCCGCTCCTGCCAAGCATCCACATCACGTGCCCGCGCACCTACGCGCAGACCTCTGCGAGTCGAGGCATAGAACGCTCGGAGCGTCCCGTCCACACTTTCCACGGCACGACGCTAAACTCCTCCGGCGGATGAGCCTCGGCGAGCGCGAGGTACCTACTCGTAAGGTAAGGCAAGTAAATTTCTCCACGCACACAAAGTGGTGGGGCAAGGGGGGGGCGAGGGGGGGCGAGGTACCTACTCGTGTGCTGATGAGCGTCAGTGATGACTTTCTCATGCCGTCGGTGAGACTCGGGCGAGCGCGAGGCACTCGAGAGCCACACCAGCCACGCCCCCCCTGCCTAACTCCGGCCTTTCGCCCCCCTCGCCGCCGTCCTCCTCACTGCCGCCCCCCCCCCTCCTGACATCACCCCTGCCGCCTTCCCCCCTGCCGAGGACGGCCGCCTCCTCAAAGAGCCGCGGGTCGCGCAGCAGCCCCTCAGCGGCCATGACGCCTATCGAAAGGAGCAACAGATCGCACACGGCTGCAGCAGAGAGCAAGCCCTCGGCGGCCAATGCCGTGCGCTCCCGTCTGCTGCAAGTTGAGCAACACGTCGCGGGGCGCCTGCGGGCGGACGTCCTTTTGTCAATGGGCGGGCTTTCTGTCTGAGGCGGAGACCGCCGGGCACCTGCGTGTTGCCGTTGCTCAGCAGGAGGGGCGTGGCTCCCATCGCCTACATTCGCCCTTCTTGTTGCCCCGCGGGCGAGCTTTCTTTTTCCCCACCTTCGGCCTTGGGCGAGCCCCCCCCCCCCCTCTCCTGGGCCACGTCGCGAATCGCGTCGAGGTCGGCCGCGACCGTCTGATGGGAGGAGACGGGAGGAGACGGCCATGTCAGCTTCACAGGCGCTGTGGGACATATGTGCGTGCGTGCGTGCGTGTGAGGGGAGGAGACGGGAGGAGACGGCCATGTCAGCTTCACAGGCGCTGGTGTGGGACATATGTGCGTGCGTGCGTGCGTGCGTGCGTGCGTGCGTGCGTGCGTGCGTGCGTGCGTGCGTGCGTGCGTGCGTGCGTGCGTGCGTGCGTGCGTGTGTGTGTGTGTGTGTGTGTGTGTGTGTGTGTGTGCGTGCGTGCGTGTGTGTGTGTGTGTGTGTGTGTGTGCGTGCGTGTGTGTGTGTGTGTGAGTATGTGGTACAGTGAGTGAGTCCGCCTGCCGCTGCCCGCGGTGCAGCTCGGCAGCAGGACGCTCGCGGCCATGGATCGCAATCAGAGAGCAGCCTGTTCACAGCTCGAGCTGTGAAGAGACGCCGTTCACAGCGCTCGCGGCCATGGATCGCAATCCGAGAGCAGCCGGCTGCGGCGAGGACGCGGCAGAGCGCCAGCGTCTCCTCGCTGCTTTCGAGGAGCCGGATCTTGGCGGTGACTGGCAGGGACGTCTACACGCGCCTCCCCGAGGTTAGATGGGTATAGCCGCCTGCCTGCAGAGGGGTGTGTGACACATCGTACCGACTCGAGTATGCGCTCGACGATGCGACCCAGCGTGGGCCAGTGCTCCCTGTCGAGCAGGTAGGCGCCGAAGACCTACCCGGGCTCGGCAGAGTCATCACACGCTGAATAAAAGGAGTGGAACGCCATCAGTTCTGTGATCACTGTAGGCGCCGAAGACCTGCGCCTCCGCCTGAGGGAGTGGGCAGCCGAGGTTGAGGTCGATGGCATCGCACGGACAGGTCCTCTCGACCAGCGCAGCGGCCGCAGCCACTGTCGCTGGGTCATTGCCCTGCAGCTGGACGATGAGCGGTCTGTCGTCGACGCACGTCTGCAGCTTCCGCCTCCGATAGGCCTCGTCCGAGAGTAGCCGCTCGGAGAAGAGCATCTCGGTGTAGCAAGTGTCCGCGCCGTGCCGCCGGCAGAGGAGGCGAAAGGCGAGGTCGGACGCGCCGACCATCGGCGCGGCCACCAGGCGACAGGAGAAGCACACCGGCCGTGGCGATATCGCGAGTCGGCGCTTCTTGGCAAGGGCGTCGCCGCTCTCCTCCATCGGCGCTGGGTTCGAACCCTGCCTGGCGCACGCGGCAACTTGCCGCTACTCGAGTAAGAAGAAGAATTCGCGTGGGCCGCTCTCACAGCAGACTGGCACGAACTAGCACCACAAAAGGCACAGCTCTTCGGAAGACAGCAGCAGAAATAGATTTGCCAACAATACCTACAAAAAAGAAAAATAACTCGCCCGTCCGTTTCCGCCATCAGCCCATCAGCGGAGGCGAACACAGACGGTCGCAACGACCTCGTCATGGCTGGGCAATCAGCGCTCCTACGCCACCCTGTAATCTCCGCCGCGTGCCTGTTTTGCCTCCTCTACATTAGCTTCCTCTCCTTTGCGCCTGCACCGTTCGGGCTGTACAACGCGACTGCTGCTGCTGCTGGCGCATTCCCGTTCCAGGTGCCGAGTAGACGCAAGCCCCACACAGTGTGTGTGTGTGTGTGTGTGTGTGTGTGTGTGTGTGTGTGTGTGTGTGTGTGTGTGTGTGTGTGTGTGTGTGTGTGTGTGTGTGTGTGTGTGTGTGTGTGTGTGTGTGTGTGTGTGTGTGTGTGTGTGTGTGTGTGTGGGTGTGGGTGTGTGTCTCGTCGTCGTCGTCGTCGTCGTCGTTTCGTATCAAGAATACTCACTCACACGCCCCACACATCAGGCGCCCTGCGAGATCCGCTCGGTGCCCACCTTGTGTGTCGACTCGTGGTACGCGTTTGCCCTGCTCGTTGTTGCGCGGCTGACCGCCTACGGCACGTATCCGCTACTCGTCTGCCTCTTCCTGACGAAGCTCAACCACCTCCGCACGCTGCTGCAGGCCAGAGCCACCCTCCTCGCTGCCCTCTCGCCTGCATCGCCCAATTGCCACCTCGCATGCGTCCCAACCCGCGCCCGCTGAATCTCCCACAGCGGTCATGGCTGTCAATGTACGTCCCCTTTCACGACCTCCATGCCATCCACACCCTCTCCGGCGCCGCCATCGGCTACGCGGCGCTGCTGCACTCCCTTGTCCACCTGCTCCGGTGGGGCCTGCAGGGGCGGCTCGACATGGTGTGGGGCAGCGCAAGCGGCCTCAGCGGCGTGCTCGCCTGCCTCGTGACGCCATTCGTCAGCTGGCCGATGCAGTTCGCGCCGCTGCGGGCACGGCTCCGCTGGGAGCTCCGCAAAGGCCTCCACTACCTGTCTGTGCTGTGGGGGCTCGCCCTCTGCTTCCACGCGCCGCAGCAATACATCTCCTTCATCGCCGGCATCCCCTTGGCTCTCTACCTCTCGGACTGGGCCATCGGCGCCATGCTCAACACTCACCTTGTCGAGTCGCCGCTGCTCAGTCGTATGGAGAAGTCGGTCGAGCTGACCTTTGAGCACCCGCCCGGCTTCCGGAGTGGCCGCGGCTACATCTACGTGTGCATCCCTTGGATATCGAGGAGCGAGTGGCACGCCTTCAGCTTGTTTGCACACCCCGACCTCCCCAACCACTCGTCGGTGTGCATGAGCGTGAACGGCGATTGGACCGCGAGAGTGCACAAGGCAGTCCGCGCGCGGACCGTGCGGCCGGCCTGGATCTGCGGGCCCTTCGCCTCGCCGTATAGCACGGTCAGCGACGTACCCGCGACGGATTTGCACGCCGCAGGAGATCCCGCTTTACACCTCAAGCCCTCGAACAGGCCGTGCACTACGAGGATCTCATTCTCGTCGCCTCCGGCATCGGCATTACACCCGCGATGGACATCATCAACGCGTATCGCGCCGGCAGCCGCCGTCTGTCGCTCATCTGGTCGTGCCGCGACGCGAGTCTGCTCGAGTACTACCTGCAGCATGGCCGCTTCGACAAGGACGGGTGGACCCTCATATACTACACGGGCAAGCGGAAGCTGCGCCTGCAGCGGAGCTCGCTGCCGGACACGCTGTGCGTCTTCCACGGCCGGCCTGTGTGGGACACGGTCATTCGCGAGATCATCTCGTCGATTGAGCTCGGCATGGGGCTGCCCGAGGAGGTGGTGGCCGAGCGGGAGGCGTGTCTGGACGACCTGCTGCAGGCGCGCCAGGAGCTCGAGCTCTCCGGGGCGAGCACGCCGCTGCAGCGCTTCCAGGCAACGCAAGAGTCTCAGCACGTGCTCCCGCGCGATGCGACTAGTGCGGTGGAGACCCCGCCTCCACCTCCAGGTGCTGCTGCGCCGAGTCCTCTGCCGGCAGTCGGCCGCCGGTGTGCTGCTCGAGCTGCGGCAGATTGCGGATTTGGATGAGGTGGACATGGAGGCCTTCTCCTACCTGGTGCACCACATGATGCCCTCCGAGTTCAGCGCCGAAGAGGAGGCGGAGGTGTTCTCTGCGCTGGCGGCGGGCGAGCTGTCGGCGCGCGACAGCGTCGCGGGGCAGTGCGACCGCGAGGGCGCCACCAGCGCGGCGGAAGGGCGGCGAATGTGACGTGAACTTACCAATAAGTAGGCAGCCAAATGAAGAGGCAGTGGGCAGCCCGCCCGCCGCTCTGAAGGGGCTGGAGCTGTACATTTGCGGCGTCGAGGCGTCGCTTCGCATCGACCTCTCCGCGCTGAGCCGGCGGCGCAGCCTTGTTAGCAGCGGCTACGGCTCGCTAGCGGGCGGACTCGAGACGACAGAGCTGCGTGGCCGATACAGCAGCGCGAACGCGCCGGCGGGGCGGCTCAGCTTTGTGGCCCCGCTCGAGGGGGAGAGCGCGTCCTCCTCCGACGATGGCCTCTCCGACGACGGGCGTGACGCCGTGGCCGCCCGGTCGCGCTCCTCCCATGTGCGCATCCCCATCAAATCTGCTGCAGCGGGCCGACCGCCCCCACCGGCCGTCCCGCCGCCGCCTCCACGGTACGGCTCGCAGCCCCTCTCGTCGACGAGCACCAACAGCAGCGGCTGGTCTCCGCCTCATGCAGCTTCATGCAAGAGCAGCCTCAGCACGGCCGACGGGAGCGTGCGGCTCCCTGCTGTCGACGTGTGGGCCCCGCCTCCGCGCGCGCTGCGGGCCGTCTCCTCGATGCGGCACGCCTCAGCCCTCCGACTCGGCCGCGGCAAGTCGTCTCGCGGCCCGCGCCGCCCCAAGGGGGAGAGCATGTCTTGCCGCAGAGAGTGAGCATCACATCGGCTACAACCCTGAACCTAGGCTTGCTGCCGGGAAAGCACGCCGAGGTGGAAGCGCTGCTCGGCAAGAGCCGCCAACGGCCACAGCCGGCGTCGCCCGAGAAGCAGCAGCGGCCGTCGCCCGGCAAGGCGCCGCCGGAGCGGCTCTCGCTGCAAGCGCAGCAGCTGCAGAAATTCGGCGCGACGCCGGACGAGGCGAGCCAGCTGCTGACCAGCCTGGATGGAGTGGATGCAGAGGTGACTAGGTGAGAGGGAACTGAGCGGATTTCCCCGTTCCCGCTCGCCGGAGCCCCGCGCGGAGCCTTCCTCGTTAGGCGCTCGCCAAGTGGCAAATCCTGTACTGCGGCGGCTCGCGCGGCTGGTCGCGGACGAGATGGCCAGGAGATGAAGGCGGCCCTTGACGGTTTTGGCCGTGTGAACAGGCTCGCAGCCGGTGGTGGACGAGCTGACGCGCATCAGCGGCGAGGTCGGCGTCGATTTTCGAATGGAGAAGTTTGATTGGTGAGTCGTGAGACGGACACCATCTGTTGTATTGTATCTGAGTTGAAGAACTCCGTGCCTGCTCCCCGTGCATGTAGCCTGGCGTTTGTGCCCAACCCCTTGCGCTCTCTTCACACAGGGCTCTCACAGCAGACTAGGGGAGTGTACCGGGGAGAAAGAAGAACCGCTCGAAATGGACCATTGGGCTTGTATTTTAACAACGAAGGCGATTTTTTTCAGGCCCTCCTTCCCGATGCGGCGCCGCGCTCGAGCCCGGTGACGACCGTGCGGACGCCGTTTTGTTGAGCGCTGTCAGAGCGGTGTTTCGGACACCGATATCGTTCAAAGCGAAAATGCCGCCGGACGACGGCTACCTCCCAACCACGCGCTCGTCCGTCGAGCTCGGCAACATGCGTGGCTACTCCAGCGGGCGCATGAGTTCTCTGCCTCTCGTCCACCAGTTCTCCGAGGCGGAGAAGTTCCGGGGCTCCGCGGTGAGCACGGGCTCGGTCGGCGAGCACTTGCCGTCGCAGGGCGCCGAGAAGGTCGATCCGGCGAGCGGCGACAGCGCGGGCAGCGGCGCGGAGAACAGCTCAAAGCTCGAGGATGTGGCGCTCGCGATGCAGGAGACGGACCTCAGTCCGTACGTCCAGCCGTCGTTCGTCAGCCGTGTCGGCAGCCTCGTACTCGCGTGTGCGCGGCCGCTTCTGGTCGGCTCGGCGGGCGCGCTGCTCGGCGCGCTAGAGCTTGCGAGCGTGGCCGTGTGCCTCCTCCTCCTGCTCGCAGCGGCGCACGTTCCTGCACGGGGCAGCGCCGACGCGGAGATATTGAATGCGGGCGTGCTCGCCGTCTCGACCCTCGCCGGCACCCTGGCCGGGCTCGTCCTCTCCGTCTGGGCCGCGCGGTCCGGCTTGCTCGGACGCGCCTTCTCTGGCAGACCAGGCGGCGGCACAGCGGACAAGGCGGTAAGAGGCATCCGCGTCAATACGGCGGGGGGCGGGCGGCGGCGCGTCTTTTGGCTGCGTGCGGTGGCCGCGCTCGCGGTCGCGCCCCTGTCCGCCACGCTCTGCTTGTTCGTCCCGTCGGAGCCGCAAACGGCGCTGCTCGATACGTTGCGGCCGCTGCTGGCGATCGGCCTCGGGTGGAGCGGTGGCGTCAAACTCCCGGCCGGCTACTGCGCTTCCTTTGGTGCGGCGCCGCTGCTGCAGGGCGGCGGGCCGTCGCGCGGGCAGGCGGTGCGACAGCTCTCCGAGGCGGTTGATGGCGGTGGCGAGAGCGGGAGGAAGCCCCTCCAGAGGCTTTCGCCCGGCTGGTGGCGGCGGTGGGGCGACACCAAGGCCGGGGCGGCCGCGGCGCTCGTCGCAAACATGACTCGCGCGGAGGCGGGGCGGCTGGTGCAGGGCTTCGGTTGGGCGGGCTTCTCGCTGCCCGAAGGGCTGTACACCGGCTCCGTGCTCGGCGTGCCGCGCCTCGGCCTGCCTGGGCTGCACATGCAGGACGCGGCCCAAGGGTATCGCACGATGTTTGACTCGCAGGTCGGCACGGTCACCGCGTGGCCGTCGCTGCTCTCGTTCGCTGCGTCCTGGGACGCGAGTCTCACCCGCGAGTTCGCGTCTGCCCTCGGCCGCGAGTTCCGCGCCAAGGGCGCAAACGTGATCCTCGGGCCGAGCGTCAATGTACACCGCGTGGCGCGCAACGGCCGCAACGCCGAGTACTTGTCTGGCGAGGAGCCGCGCCTTGGCGAGGTGCTCGTGGCAGCGTACGTCCAGGGCGTGCAGTCGGAGAAGGTTGCGGCGGTGGTCAAGCACTATGCGCTCAACAACCAGGAGACGCACCGCGCGACGGTCGACGTGGAGGTGGACGAGCGGACGCGGCGCGAAGTGTACTACCCGCCCTTTGAGGCGGCGGTGCGTGCGGGCGTCGCCTCCTTCATGTGTTCGTACAACTTGGTGGACGGAGAGCACGCCTGTGGAAGCGAGGCTCTTTCGAGCGAGTTGCGTGACGGGCTCGGCTTTGCAGACGGCTGGATGATGTCAGACTGGTGGGCAGTGCACTCCTCCGACGCAGCGCGGGGAGGCGTCGACCAGAACATGCCCGGAAACGACGGCTGGTTCGACCTCTACCGGCTCGGAGGGGCGAGCGGCGAGAGCGACAGCCGGCCGCACGGCCTCGTTGGCCAGATGGCGGAGCGGGTCGTTCGCGGCGCCCTCGCCGCCGACGCGTACGATGCGATGCCGTGCCACGTGGGGTGTGACTGCGGCCCGCTCATGATGGACGGCGTCTCCACCTCGGCCGAGCACCGCGCGCTCGCGCGCCGCGCGGCCGCGTCCTCCGTGGTTCTCCTCAAGAACGAGGGCGTCCTCCCGCTGCAACGCGACCCCCCCGCGGGGCGGCTGAGGATCGCGTTGCTCGGCTCCGCCTGCGCGGCTCCTTCGGCGTGGCAAAGTCGGGCCGCCCGCGAAGACTGGGCAGCCGGGGACTACTACACGGTCGGCGGGTCGGGGCGAGTCTTCTTTCCGGGCGACGCGAGCCTCTTGGCCGGTCTGGAGGCTGCCGGGTACGACGTGGCACTCCACCCGGTGGATCGCTCCTCGGACGCCGAGGCAGCTATGCGCGGCTTCGACGTGGCCATCGCGTGCGGGGGCGGGGTGACGCAGGAGTCGCGCGACCGCCCCTCGCTCCGGCTCGATCAGGACCACTTTCTGCAGCAGCTCGTCGCGAGGACGCGCGCGTCGCGCTCCGTCGACGCGCCGCCGCACGTGCGGCTGCCGCCGCTCATCGTCGTGGCCCTCGCGCCCGGCGCGATCCTGACGAGCTGGGCGGAGCACGCCGATGCCGCCCTCGTCCTCTTTCTCGGGGGGGAGGCGACCGGCCTCGCGCTCTCGGACGTCCTCTCCGGCCACGTCAGCCCGTCTGGCAGGCTTCCGCTCACCCTCCCGGCGGCGGAGGCGGACGCGACGCCGCCGTGCGCGGGCCTGTCTTGCAGCTACACCGAGGGGCTCGCGCTCGCATGGCGCGGGCTGCACAAGAGACCGGTCGCCTTCCCCTTTGGGCACGGCCTCTCGTACACGCGTTTCTCCTACTCGTGGGAGACGGAGCCTGCACCCTCCGCTGGTGGCGGCGCGACGCTGGACGGGCGCGGCGACGCGCAGCAGCCGCTCTTCAACCTGAGCTTCCGCGTGCAGAACGACGGCGCGAGGGAGGGTCAGGAGGTGGCACAGCTCTACCTGTCCTACCCCGAGAGCGCAGGCGAGCCGCCGCTGGTCCTCCGACACTTCGTCAAGACGCGGCCGCTCCAGCCGTCGCAGAGCGAGCTCGTGAGCCTTAGCCTGTCCAGGCGAGACCTGTCGACGTGGCGACCCGCCGACTCGAGCAGCGAACGAGGCGGCTGGCGCGTCGCCCACGGGCGATTCGGCGTGGTTGTCGGAGGGTCGTCCCGCCCCGCGGAGGGCGAGGGATTGCGAGCTGAGTTCGAGGTGTGAGTTCGCCCCACCACTTTTGTGCGTTTGTGGAGTCTGGAGAAAGAAAAAGGCGCTCCTGCCGGTCCTGCCAAGGTCCGACCCCAGCGGCGTCGGCGGGCATATAAGCGAGGCGGCGCGGGTAGAGACCCAGGCGGCGGCGCGGGAGGAGGCAGGGGGGCAAGAGGGCGCGGAGCGGACGGACATCTCAAGGCGCGTGCGACCGAGCCGAGCGTCAAGCAGTGTGGCCACATGTTCGCGTGCTGCGTCGATGACGCGGCGAAGACCACGATGCTGCGAGCGGCGAGCGACAAGCAGGTGTACTGCGTGCCCCGAGGGTCGGCGCCGTTGCAGGCGACCATCGCCCGCGAGTAGGTGGTCTGAGCTGCGTGGTAGTCTTTGACCTGCCCCCCCCCCCCCCCCCTTGAGCACTTGAGCACTGGATAGGGTCGATTCCGCATGGTACGGGACCCCTCGATCGTCTCGCCCTCCCTCGCTGGTGTGCTCATCGGGGGGGTCATAACAACAGCACACAGACACATATCTAGCCGCTGCACAGCTCCTCAGGCTTTCTGGGGTGGTGTGTGTATGTGTGTGTGTGTGTGTGTGTGTGTGTGTGTGTGTGTGTGTGTGTGTGTGTGTGTGTGTGTGTGTGTGTGTGTGTGTGTGTGTGTGTGTGTGTGTGTGTGTGTGTGTGTGTGTGTGTGTGTGTGTGTGTGTGTGTGTGTGTGTGTGTGTGTGTGTGTGTGTGTGTGTGTGTGTGTGTGTGTGTGTGTGTGTGTGTGTGTGTGTGTGTGTGTGTGTGTGTGTGTGTGAGTGTGTGTGTGTGTGTGTGTGTGTGTGTGTGTGTGTGTGTGTGTGTGTGTGTGTGTGTGTGTGTGTGTGTGTGTGTGTGTGTGTGTGTGTGTGTGTGTGTGTGTGTGTGTGTGTGTGTGTGTGTGTGTGTGTGTGTGTGTGTGTGTGTGTGTGTGTGTGTGTGTGTGTGTGTGTGTGTGTGTGTGTGTGTGGTGTGTGTGTGTGTGTGTGTGTGTGTGTGTGTGTGTGTGTGTGTGTGACTGTGTGTGTGTGTGTGTGTGTGACTGTGTGTGTGTGTGTGTGTGTGTGTGTGTGTGACTGTGCGTGCCGTGAATGGAAGAATTTCAGATATCTACACCCACCCACCCACCCACACACACACACACACGTTGCTCGTTGTGGCCTAGCGCAGCGCGAGCTCGCCGTGTGAGCCTAGCGCAGCGCGAACTCGCTCTGAGCCTAGCGCAGCGCGAACCCTCGCACAGAAAAGTTTGCGCAGCAACACGCAGAACTTGGAGCACTTGGATAAATAAATAAAAAAATAAATAAAACGGGCACGCCAAACGAGGGGTGGGAGAGGGACAGGGTCCCCACCTGCACGAGCAGGATCTTGGAAGGACGATCAGGTGCAGTCATTAAGCGCAGAAGTTATTCTTTATTTCCGAGCCGCTGACCGGGCTGGGTTGCCACGACAATCACACCGCACGAAATATGAACCCAGACCTCGAGGCGCTCTACGCGGTCGAGGCCAAGCGCGAGGCTGCCGCAGCCGAGGCGCAAAGGCGGGAGGCGGAGTCGAGCCGACTTGAGCAGAGGCAGCGGCAGGAGCGGACGGTGCAGTACCAGGCGGGGCTGAGCGCGACGCGAGAGATCGAAAAGAAGAGGCACGAGGCGGAGAGGAAACGGCGGGAGGAAGCGGAGAGGAAACGGAGAGCCGCGGAGATACGCGAAGCCAAGAACAGGGAGTGCTACCAGACAGACGTCGACCAGGCTGAGCGAGCGAGAATGTCGAAAGCCGAGTTCAATCTTGGCCGGGAGGAGCAGCGGCGAGCGCAACGCGAGCGGCTGCAGTCCTATGCGTCGGACGAGCAGAGCCGGCTGGAGCGCGAGACGGTCTCCCGCCACCTCAAGGAGCAGAGTGACCTCCAGCGTGCTCTCTCCCTCTCCCGTCTCGAGCAGCAGAGCAGCAGCAGGAGAGGCGGCGGGCCGGGAGGCGGCGGCACGTCGAGCGGGCATGCCGCGGCGCCAGGCGGCGACAGCGACGAGGAGTTCCTCGCGGCACTGGAGGCGTCGAAGCAGGAGGCGGAGGCGCGTGCCGGCGGGGCGAGCAGTGGCAGTTTGGGCAGCGGAGAGCGGGGCAGCGGAGAGGCTGACGATGCCATCGTCGCGCACCTAATCGGGATGGGCTTCCCGCTCCCTCTCTCGCGCCGCGCGGCGCTCGCCGTCGCCAATCGCTCTGCCGAGGCGGCGGCGGAGTGGGTGCTCATGCAGGGCGACGCGAAGCTCGCCCGACCCGGTCCCGCCTGAGTACTTAACCTGAGCAGCTGGTTGATCGATTCTCCAGGCGATGCGGAGCCCGGCGACCCGCCTCCGCCGCCCGGGGGGGTCGGAGGGGGCAGCGGCGACGCCCTCCCGGCTGCACGACACGGTGGCAAGGCGCCGGTGGGGGGCAAGGCGAGGGCAGTGCCGAGCAGCGCCGGCTCCGAGGCGGCCTCTGCGCCAAGCGACGCCGAGAGGCGAGGCGCAGTCTGCAGCGGCGGCGGCGGACGTGTCGCCGCCAACAGCGGAGGGGCTGGGCCCAGTCAGGCGCTGGCGGCCGCCCAGTGGCTGAGCAGTGGGAGTCAAATGATTCGTTCTTGATATCTCGATCTGGACAATTAGGCGGCGGCGGCGGCAGAGAGGGACGCGGACGCGGCAGGTGGTGTCGATGAGGCGTCGTTGCTGGCGGTGGTGGAGGCGGCGGAGGCGGAGGAGGCGAAGAAGGTGGCGGAGGCGGCGGCGGCGGCCGAGGCGGCGGCGGAGGAAGAGGAGGTGCGGCGGGTGGCGGCGGCGGCGGAGGCGGAGGAGGCGGAGGCGAGGAGGGTGGCGGAGGCGGAGGCGGAGGCGGAGGTAAGAAGGGTGGCGGCGGAGGCGGAGGCGGCGGAGGCGGCGGCGGCAGCGGCGGCAGCGGCGGCGGCGGCGGCCGCGGCGGCGGCGGAGGCGGCGGCGGAGGCGGCGGAGGCGGCGGAGGCGGCGGAGGCGGCGGAGGCGGCGACGGAGGAGTCGTTCGATCTGCCGGGCACTGTGAGGAGCCTCAAGCGCTTCTTCTCCGCCGAGGTGCAGTCGATCGCCGGCTTTGAGCCCGCCCTCGAGCAGATGGAGAGAGAGATGTATGGCGCCGTCCGAGCGGGCTGCCTTGACGTGCGTGTGCGCTCACTCGCGCTGAAGTTCACGCCAGCTAGGGAGACGGCGGTTGTAGCCGCGAGTGGCGCGTCGCCGAGCGACGCATCTGCAAGCGACGCGTCTACATCCGGTACGGCGCTGCCGCCCCCGCCGTCGCAACTGCCGCCGCCGTCGCAACTGCCGCCGCCGCCGCCGTCGCAGTACGCGGTACTACCTTTCGTGGTCGAGTGGGAGGCTGGTTTCCCGCCGCCCCTTGGCTCCGCGCCGCCCCTTGGCTCGCCACCGCCCCTTGGCCTGCCGCCGCCCCTTGGCGGTGCGGAGGATGTGGCGCAGCTGCTCGGTGTGTACCTGCCGGCGCCACGCGCAGAGGCGGGGCTGCAGGTGTGGAGGCGGCAGGCGGCGGCGGGGCCCACCTTCTTCTTGGCGGCCCACAAGTCGGGCGGAGAGAAGCAGTGGTCGATCAAGCGGAGCTGGGAGCAGACGAGCAGGCCGGTGCTGCTGCTGCGCGGCTCTCGCTCAGTCAGCCCCTACCGCGGAGGTATGCCCGACGTGGTCGGCGGCGTGTGGTGCTTGCAGGGAGGCGAGCGGGGCACGCCAAGAGTCACTAGTCATGAACCAACGTCGATCGCATGTGATCATGCGCCGTTGGTAGGCGAGCGGGCGGGGGTGCGTTGCAGGTACGTGAGCGACGGCGAGGCGCGGGAGGCGGCCGAGGCGGCGGCGCTGCGCCAGCGCTAATGAAAAGCGTAGCTTGTTCACACTGTGAGCAGGTGCGGGAGATGGAGGCGGCGGAGCTGCGCCCGCCGCAGCCGGGTGCGTGGCTCGCTCCTCCGGCGGACGAGGCGGGGGCGGAGAGCGGGGCGGCGGAGCTGATGCGGCGCGTGCGCCGCGGCCGTGCCGCGGAGGAGCGGTGGGAGGGGGCGGAGGCAGAGGCGGCGAGGGCGGCGAGGGCAGTCGAGCGGGGGGAGAGGGGAGAGGCCGGGGCTGTGGCGGAGCTCGCGGCGCCCGCGAGCCCAGATGCGGCCTTCCAGCTTGGCTTCCGGCGGCGGGTGCCGGAGGAGTCCTTCTTGGTCGCTTGGCAGGAGGCGGGGGCGACGCGGCGGCGGTGTGTGGCGGTCCTAATCGCTATGTAGTTGATCACGAGTTGACGATTCAGGCGGAGGCGACGCGGCTGTGTGTGGCGGTCGACCCGACGCTGCGTCTGCTGCGTGTGACGTTGGCGCGGACAGGCGCGCGCCCGTCCGCTACTTGCCCCCGTTCGCTACATGGCAGCCCTTGAGTCGTCCCCCAGAGCGGGCTGGTTGGGCGGGCGGCCTCAAACCCCCCCCTCTCTATCGAGAGTCCGGCCATCGTTGCGACGAGGGGCGGTCGTGGTGACGGCTGCTCTTTCTCCTGTATGCAGGCGGGCGCACCATCCGCCTCTCGTGGCCCTTCCGGTCGCTTCTCGGTCTTGCGGGCCGAGGGGCGGCGGCGGGCAGCCCGCCGCAGCAGCACCTCGCGGGGGGAGGTCTCGCCCGGGAGGGGGTGGACTAGTCACTGGTCACTAGTCACTAGTCACTAGTCACTGATATTAATAGGTCTCGCCCGGGAGGGGGTGGAGGTTGACGTGAGCGCTGGCCGCGCCACGCTCCTCTTCACCGCAAGTGAGCCGCCGGCCGTCGAGTTGGCTGCGGAGGCAGGGGCCGGCGGAGGCGGTGGGCGCGGCGGCGGAGGAGGAGGGGGAGGCGGAGGAGGAGGCGGAGGAGGTGGCGGGAGGAGCAGGGGCGGTTGGGTGCGAAGCTGTGCCGACCCGTCGGGGAGAGGCGGTGGGGCGGCTCCTTGCCCGAGGCGGCGGTGTGAAGAGCGTCTCTTCACAGCTCCAAGTGTGAACAGGCTGGCTCTCGCGCGCCTTGAGCGCGCGGGTAGTGCTGCCGGTGTCAAGGGGAGGGGGTCGGCAGCCTGAAGCTGCGAAGAGGTCTCCTCACAGGCCGAGCTGTGAGCAGGCGCGAGGCGACCGGGTCGGGCGGCTGAAGCGGTCTCTCGGAGCGAGTCTGCTCTCGCGGCGATCAAAAGTCCGCCGGCCTTGACTCACTCTCCTCTGACCACAGGTCTCTCGACGCCTCAGGGCTGCTCTCCCCTCTCTCGCGCGCGGGGATGTCCGCGCCCTCCGAGGCGCCCCCCGCTTGCGACTTGTCCAGCCTGCCCTTCGCTGTCCGGTACGGGGTCGAGGTGCGCCGCAGCCGGTCGACACTTCGGCGAATCTCGGCGCATCTCGGCGCATCTCGGCGCATCTCAGCGCTTCTCGGCGCGTCTCGGACTGCAGGTGCTCCTCAGCCGCGGCGCGATGACGGCGGCGGAGGTGACGCCCGAGCTTGTGCGGAGGCTGCGAGGCACGGACGCCGCCGTCGCGCAGTCTTCGCTGCGCGTCATGGCGAGCAAAGATGTTGAGCGCTTGGCTCGCGGCGGGGGGGGGAGATCGGCGGAGATGACGCGAGGGTGCGCGAGATTAGGCGAGCCTCGCTTCTGACCACGAGCGGGGAGGGGGAGGGGGAGGCCGCGACGCAGCGCAGGAGCTGCTCGAGTGGTGCGGCTGGTTCGAGAGGCGGAGGCTGCGGGGCGGGGGGCGTGGAGAGGGCTGGGCGGCTTGGGAGCGGGCGGGCGGGGGAGGGGAGACGGCGGGAGAGGCGGGCCGCTGCGAGGTGCGGCGACTGGTCGTGACGCCCCTGCGGTGTGACGCAGCGTCTCTTCACACCGCACCGTCCGGTCAGGTGCGGCGGGTGGTCGTGACTCCGCTACGGACCGTCGCTCTTCCTTCGGAGTGGGAGGTGTCGAGCCACGCGGTGCGGTGGGTGGCCGAGCAGGAGCGGGAGCACGGTGCGGCTGCTGCGTCCCCTCCTTCTCCTCTCCTTCACAGCTCAGCGACCGCGCGTCAGGAGGGGAGCACGGAGCGGCTGCTGCGTTGCTCCTTTGCGGACGAGTCGCTAGAGCCGCTGAGCCGCTGCCGAGGCTTGCTCGAGTCGTGCCCTGCAAGCAGTGGACGGGCTCCTCACTCGGTGCGAAGGCGTGCGTAGGCTTGCTCGAGGCCGAGTCGTACCGGGAGCGGGTGCGCGAGGTGCTGGCTGGAGAAGCCAGTGAGGGGAGGGCTCCTCACTCCTGGACCTGCGGTGAAGGTGCGCGAGGTGCTGACGCACGGCGTGGTCGTGGGCGGGCGCACCTTCAAGTACCTCGGCTCGAGCAGCGTCCGTCCAAGCACGCTACCCAGTCAATCCTGATCAAGTAATTGAGCAGTCATCGATTCATAGGCTCGAGCAGTGCCCAGTTCAAGGAGGGGGGCTGCTGGATGCTGGCGGAGGAGGGGCAGCTCACGGTCCCTCGCCCTCTCACCTCGCTGGGCCGAGATGAGCCGCGATGAGCCGAGATGGCCCGAGGTTAGGTCCCTCGCCTTCTCACCTCGATGGGCGACCTGTCGGGGTTACACGAGGCGCGCTCCGGCGAACTACTCACTAGCCACCAGTCAAGTTGTTGATGATTGGCTGTTGTTGGGCTGCACGAGGCGCCTCGGCTCGTCGCCCGCATCGGCCAGTGCTTCTCGACAACGGTGGCGACACTGCGCGTGTTGCGGGGTGAGGGGGGCGGCCCCGCGGGAGGGGGGGAGGTCGAGCCCGGCTACCAAGGCTGGTGGGAGGAGATGGCCGAGGTGCGGCGAGGTTCCTTCACCTTCTCGGACGGCTGCGGCACGATCTCGCGCGACCTGATGCTCCAGGCGAGACACTTCCTAGACACTTCCTAGACACTCCTACTGCCTCGCGCGACCTGGTGCTCCAGGCGCTGGTTCGGAGGCCGCAGCCACGCCCTGAGAACTGCTCAGTCTCAACTAACCGCCCGACTTGACGCTCCAGATGTTCGACGCGCCTGGCGAGATGATGCGCTCGGCGCTTGCAGATCCGCTCGATCGGCCGTCATTAAAGCGAGTCGTTAGTTAATAGGCGAGATGATGCACTCGGCGCTTGCAGATCCGCTCGATCGGCCGTCATTAAAGCGAGTCGTTAGTTAATAGGCGAGATGATGCACTCGGCGCTGCAGATCCGGTTTGGAGGGACCAAGGGGATGGTGAGTCTCGACACGCGGCTCGAGGGGCGGAGGCTGCGGCTGCGGCCGTCGCAGATCAAATTTGCGTCTGACGAGTGCTCCCTCGAGGTGAACGAGGTGGCTCGCTGCCTGCCAGGCCACCTCAACCGCGAGGTCATCATGCTGTTCTGACCAGCCGCCTCGTCACGACGTTAGCTGTGAACAGGCCACCTCAACCGCGAGGTCATCATGCTGCTTTCGACGCGAGGCGCCCGACCACACACCCCTGCTCGCCTGAGTTAATGTCAGCAGTGAGCATCACTCCTCCCCTTGACGGAGACTAGGCGTGCCCGACCACACGCTGCTCACCTTCTTCCAGCGCGAGGCGCAGCGCGCGGCAAACACCGCCATCGAGGACGGAGAGCGCGCGCCGCACGAGGCCGCGCTGCTGGAGCATTCCAGCCCCGAGCCGGGGGGCGCGGCGGCGGTGGCGATGGAGGCGCTGCAGCTCCCGGGCGGCTCTCTGGCGGGCGGGGCCCGCGCCATCTTGAGCGGCCGAGGGTACGCGAGATCACTCGGGAGTAGGCGGCCCTCTTTCGGAGGACCCGCACTTGCGCGCGATCGTGCTGGCCGTCCGGTTGCACCGGCTCGAGCTGCTTCGCTCAAAGTGCCACCTGCCGGTCGAGAACAGCCGCCTCGCCCACGGCGTGCTCGACGAGCGGGGCGTGCTGCGGGAGAACCAGATGTTCCTTCGCGAGCGATACCGCATCCCGGGCACCAGCGAGTACTACTCCCGTGTGATCACCGGCCGTGCCTTCTTCGTCCGCAACCCGTGCTTGCACGCCGCCGGTCTCCGCTTCGTTGATCGATGACCTCACTCATCCACACACTCACTAATAGGTGCTTGCACGCCGGCGATATCCGCCTCGTTGATCTCGTCGAATTGCCGGAGCTGATGGAGGCCGAGCTGCTCAACGTCCTCGTCTTCCCGCAGGCATGAGTCCGCTAGTTCAATCTCCCTCCGTGCTGCTGCATACCGGGCAGTGCGCGCGTCTCTCCCGCAGGCATTAGTCCGCTAGTTACGCCGGTGCTCTCAGTGCTGCCGCGCGTCTCTCCCGCAGGCCGGGGAGCGGCCTCTCTCGGACCAGAGCGCGGGCGGCGACTTGGACGGCGACAAGTACTTGGTCTGCTGGGACGCGGACATCGTGCAGTGCCTGCGGGAGAGAGACCCGGCGCCGTCTTACGGCGCGGACGAGGCGCGCTGCGGCCGCCTCGCCACCTCTTCACGGCGCCGGGAGCAGTGGCTTCTTCACATGTGCATGTCTACCGGCGAGAACAGGTGCTGAAGGACCTCGGCGCGTCTCGCATCTCCTCCGCCTTCCGCTCTCGCTCCGCCCGCCGCCGCGCTTCTGCTGCCGGCGGAGGCGGCGGAGGCAGCGGCGGAGGCAGCGGCGGAGGCAGCGGCGGAGGCAGCGGCGGAGGCAGCGGCGGAGGCAGCGGCGGAGGCAGCGGCGGCGGCGAAGCCGGCGGCAGCAGCAGAGCCAATGGCAGAGTCGGCGGCGGCGGCGGCGGTGGCGGCGGTGGCGGCGGCGGCGGCGGCGGCGGTGGCGGCGGTGGCGGCGGCGGCGGCGGCGGCGGCGGCGGAGGTGGCTATGGTCGGAGTGGCGCGCCTCTGGAGCGGGCCTCGACTCCTCATGCTGCGTGGTCGAGCGGGCGGGGGGGAGGCTGCCGCAGGTGCGGCTCACGGCGCGCAGCTGTGCGGGCAGGTGTGAAGAGCGCCTCGTCACGCGCCTCGCCGTGGAGCAGGTGCGGCCAGGTGGGACACACCGCCCGCCATTGCCCGACCACCCCGCCGCCGGCGCCCACCGTGGCCGAGGCGATGGCGATCCGGGGCAACACGCGCGGCGACGCCCTCCTCAAGATGGAGCTGGCGCGAGCGGAGGAGGAGGCGGCGGCGGAGCGGAGGCTGCAGGCGGAGGTTGAAGCGGCGATGGCGGCGAGTGTGGCAGAGGCGGCGGCGCGGCGGCGGAGGGGGCGGGAGGGGTGCGCTCTCATCGCTGAGTGTCTCGGACCGTTCCTGCAGGCGGCGGCGCGGCAGGAGAGGGAGGTGGCGGAGGAGGCGGGGAGGCCGCAGCACGCGCTGCCTGCGCAGTCTATCATCATTCCTTGATTGGCTACGGTGAATCAGTTAGGCGGGCAGGCTGAAGCACGCGACTGCGCGAGTGAGCACGGGGAGGGGGATGTCGATGGGCGCGTCCTTAACGGGCCAGCTCTTCTATCATGACTGATTAGGTGAGCACGGAGGAGAAGGTCGAGTGGTTCATACGGTACCAGCGCAAGCAGAACTTGGGCCGGATCGCCAACGCGCACAAGGCGCGAGCTGACCGCGCGCTGACGCACCCCCGGGTGAGGGGCCCGGCGGGTGCGCGCCCCCTCTGGTCTGGACGAGCGGCCCGCCCACACCGCACCCCCCTCTCACGGCGTTTCCTCTCACCACAGGCCGGCCTCTGATCGGCGCGGACGACCCGATCTGCCTGCGGCTTGCCCAGATGGCAACCGCTGCAGTCGACACGGCCAAGAACGGCCGGTTTGTGCCGCTGCCGCGCGCGCTCGAGGCGCCCCTGTACCCTCACTGGATGGAGCGGCGCGCCGACCGCAGCTACAAGTCCACGTCCGTGCTCGGCGAGATGTACGACCGCGCGACCGACCTGCTGCAGAACTTGTTCGCGCCGGGGCGGTGCGAGCAGGCGCTGTGTGACGGGCGGTGCGGCGAGGTGTGAACAGCGTCTCTTCACAGCCGCGGCTGCGAGCAGGTTCTGTGCGACGCGAAGCTGCTGTACAGCACGGACTGGCTCTCGTACTCCGAGTACACCGAGGGGGCGGAGGAGGCGAAGGACGGGACCAGCCGCGAGAAGCTGCGGGCGGCAGCAGCGTCTCCTCACGGCGCAGAGGTGCGAGCAGGCGATGGAGGAGTACAACCGCGAGCTGCTGCTGCTGATGGCGGAGCATGGCGTGCGCGAGGCGGAGGCGCTGACGAGCCGGGCGGTGCGGTACGGCCGCGCCGCGAGCCGAAAGCGGAATGCCGGCGACACGGCGAGCGCGCTTCGCTTCGGCGTCTCGCGGCTGCGCGGCATGGCGCGCAAAGAGTTCGACCGTCAGGCGGGGGCGAGGAGATGCCGCCGAGATGCTCTCGCCGAGATGCCGCAGCGATGCCGCCGAGGAGTCAGATGTGCAGTCGAGGTACAGCCGAGAAGTCTGTTTGGAAGGTGGAGGCTGCCGTTGCTGCTCACGAGGTCAAGATGCACGTGCAGCGGCTCTCGGACGCCGCGAAGGCCTCCGTCCGCCTCTGCGTGGCGTCGGCGTGGTACTACGTCACCTACAACCCGGCGGGCAGCAACGTGATCGACGGCGAGTACCCCCCCCCCCCCCTCCTCCCCCCTGAGTCTCCCCCGTGTGCCTCGTGGCATGCATGGTGGGCCTCTCCCGGCCCTCTCCTCCACAAACGACCGCTGCGGGCAGGCAAGCACCTCCCCGCCACCCCCCCTCCTTCATTCTTGGACTCATCCACGGGCAGGCGAGCACGGCCCCCTCTCCTTCCCCTGGGCCGCGCACGACGCGTTGCTCGAGATCGCGAGGCGTTCGGCGAGGCCGGCTGCGGCGCCGCCTCCCTCCCTCCCTGCGGCAGCAGGGGCGGAGGGCTCGCTCGCGGGCAGCAGGGGCGAGCGAGTCATGCGCGAGTTCAACAGGATGATGCGGAGGCTCAACGCGCTCGACCCAGCTCTGGCCGGCAGCAGGCTCGATAATTGCGAGCGAATCAACCACCTCTGTGACCATCGCGGCATCATCACCACCAACACAAGGGCATTGGCGCACAAGCTGAGGAAGTGGAGAAACTTGGCAAAGGGGGCGGCGCAGTCCGAAGCGGAGGTGGCGGCGTGGGAGAGGGAGGGCCCAACGTGCGAGGAGGCGATCGACCAGGTGGTGGTGGCAGTCGAGGCCGAGCTTTCGCGCCTGTGCGCGGATTCGGACATCTTGTGGTAATTAGGCTGTGGTTCCCATATGGGAACTTCGCCAATTCTGTGAAAGAGAGAGCTGATGCGGCTGGTCGCAGCGACGGCCGATCCAGCAGTCGTCTGCGACATGGCAGTGGCCCCGAGTCATGTGCAGCTGGTCCCGAGCGGCTCAGGTCCCAGATCGAATCTCGGACCCACAGATTCTAGATTCCTTTGGATTCCCTGGATTCCCGCAACAACGATCTCTTAGCGGCGGCAAACAGAGGCGCAACTCTGGTCTGCCAGCAGCGAGGAGGCTCCTGCTGCTCAGCTACCGAGGCCTGGTGGCGTCGGCTGCTGCGTGGAGAAGACAGCAGCACTGTCCGACCTCAAAACATGCACAACAAGCGGGATTTGTGACTCTGTCCTCGATTCTTCAGTCGCTCTGCCGGACGCGCTCGCTTTGTCGCGAGGGTCACCAGTGCAAGCCGTGTGGACGCCCAGAATAGCCTCCCCTGGCTTAGCTAGAGTGAGAGATATTGTGCACGTGGTCAGCCTCTACAATATATACACTGACACTTTACCTCCCAGAGCTCGTCTCGGTCCGCCACGGCCATCCTCGGCCTCCGGAGGGCCCCCGGCCGCGGCGCGGTGCGGCGGCGTCACAAATCCGACGTCAGTTCACCGGGACGCGATCGGGCGATCTGAAGTCCAACTAGGCGTATGGATTGTCCGCCCAGGGCTATCACCTGGACCCCTCAATGGACGCCTGCGGTGCCGCCCCCACGAGGTGTTGTTCACAACCATTCACGTGCAGCAGGGACGCGCTGTGTGTGGCTGGCAGCAAACTCAAATGACGACGGGTTGCAGCCTCGTAGCTCAACGGCAACATTGTGCATGAGGAAGGCTGATAGAAGTATCACCAGCCACACAACCAACAGCTTCTGGAGAGTATGCGGAGCGCAAGCAGCCGGTGATCAAAGGCGTGTTGCTGTCGGTGGCAGATTGCCAGAGGGACGCCGGCGCCTCGGTGCGTGGCTTCGTCACAATTTTCCACCGCTCAACTTGGAGGCAGTGTGTCTAGTAGCGTGCTACACCTATGACGGCGGACCTCACTGGGGCGCCGACGTGCGACGACCGTCTGGGATCGAAAGACGAAACCGCGTCCCAGGAGCTCGTGCAGAGCGCGCTCCGGAGCTCGGTGGCGGGAAATTTGAAGGGAACGTGGTGGCTTCCCACCGCCTCTGTATGTGCCCACTAAAGTGCTAACACGACCCTCGGGCAGCAGGGGGTATGTGGCGAGCGCACGGAGGCACAGTTAGGCCGCCGTGATATCGCCCTTCCGGGCACCCCGTTTCGGTAGCCGTTTAGGGGTTAACCACCAGCCCGGATCTTACCGAGTTAGTACCTTGTTATGTAGACACTGGTATCAATTTTCTCTGTCAAAGCGTCTACGCAATTCCTACCATACCCCTAGACTGTTAAAACCCAGGCGCCATCGCCACGTGTAGAAAACCCGGTGGAACCCACCGCACGATGACACAACCCACATGATTAATTACTTGTGTCGCTAATGTTCGAACAAGCGGTCGTGTCGTGCAGCTCGGGTGTTGGGGAGGTTGTGGGAGCCGCTCAGGACCATTTTGGGGACGCAATTTGCCTGGTTTCCCTTGAACACGCGGTTTCGCCCCTCGGAAGCGCCCACCATAATCGCGCGCCCCCCCCTGTGGCGACGGTCTCGCGCACCTGCGCCAGATCCCACCGCACTAGCTACATAGATCGTCAGCAGTAGGCGTGCTCAGAGCCCGGATTTGGGCCCATTCGCCAGAGGGCTCGAGAATGGCCCCCGGCAACGTGCAGCTGCAGGCCAGAGGGCGTGAGATGAGGCCGAATCCGCAGTCGCACGAGCACCGCTGCCCCCAGCGGTGATCATGCATGGAGTGGCAGGGCGGATAGATACACCCGCCTGCGAGCGTGGGAGACAGTCGCGGGGCGTGAGGTCTCACTGTATCGCAGGCTAGGACCGGATACGGCGGCGCGGGAGAGGGAGGGAAGCGTGAGCGGCGGGCGATGAGAGTGATTTCCCCGATCTCGCTAAAAAAGGCCTAGTCCCCTCACGGGGGACCGGGCGAGCACGCACCTCGCGTCTGAGCGCGAGTCGACGAGTGGTCGCCGAGAGATCGCCGAACCACTTTCGAGTGCGCGCGCACACAGCACAGCTGCGGGTTGTAACTCGACTGCCGATCGCGCGTGCGGGATGTAAATGCAGCTTTCTGGCGCCAGGTGCACGGTGGCAGGGACTGGAGGCTCGGCCAAAGGGGAAGAGCAGTCCTCAATCGTCACGTAGAGGTCGCTGGGCTGGATCCATCGAACTGCCACACACCTGGAGCGGAGGCACATCAGGTCTTGCCTTAGGGGACCCCTAGGGTTCTGAGGGCCGGCTTTTTTTAAGACCTTTTAAGAAACGAGGAGGTTTAGGGGCTGAAATTGCCATTTAAGAGATTGCAGGCACGGGGGGTCCCTCTTTTAAGTCCGTTTAAGAAAATCGGCCTCACCGGCCACGCGTCGCTGGGTTCCGCGCCGGTTTCTCCAATACTGCTGTTATTAGGCACAAACCCGCCTCTGAAGACACATCTGTAAGTCTGGTGCACTGGCAGGAGCCATACTCACATAGGGGACGCGTGCTAGCTGACTGTAGCCAGCTTCCCGGCCTCCGGCGTCTACCGGGAGCCTCCCGGACCATCGACCTCGGGAGCTCTCCCGCACCGTTTAAGCGTTTAAGACCGTTTAAGGAATCGGCGGCCCAGCAGCTCTTAAAACTTGCCATGGCAAGTTTTAAGCCGTTTAAGCCGCAGCGCCCCAGGGCCCACCCTTTTAAGCCTAGGGGTCCCCTAAGGGTCTTGCGCGCCAACTGGCCTTTGCTCGGTTGGCAGGGTTGGATTTGGGTTCTTTGTGATGCGTCAACTTCAACTTCCGGAACGACTCAACAGGGCCCAAAGACGGGGGAGCGACCGGCCTATACTAGAGGCGAGAGGTGAGCCCCCCCCCCCCCTCCTAGGCCGCGCTCCCGCCCCCGCCCCCGCCCCTCCCGCCGCTCACCCTCCCATCAACACCCACAAACGCACGCGAGCTCCCCTCCGTCGCTGTACGTGGACGTCGTGCACCGCAGCCGCAGCCCGCAGGGTCTCTTTGCCGTGCTCCCCCCGGGGTCCCGCCGGGCCGCGGGCCCCGCGCCCTCGCCGCCCGGCCGGGGCTGGAGAGGCTCACCAGCCCCGGTAGAGGTCGATGCCGCGCTCCTCGCACACGGCCACCAGCTCTGGCTGCTTCTCGTTGCCCACGTAGAGCATCTGCACGCGAGGGGAGGAGCGATGAGCCTTGGGCGAGGGAGGGGCGTGGGGCGAGGGGGCGTCTCGCGCCTTCAAGCTCGGCGCTGCCCCCTCCTTGCCGAGGGCGGCGGCCAACGCCGTCCAGCCCTCGTCGCCAATCTCGTTGTTGAAGAACCAGAGCTCCTTGAGCCGCGGCGCTGCCCCCTCCTTGCCGAGGGCGGCGGCCAGCGCCTTGCAGCCCTCGTCGCCAATCTTGTTGCCGTGGAGATAGAGCACCTCGAGCCGCGGCGCTGCCCTGCTCGCGAGGACCTCCGCCAGCTGCGCCGCCTCCGCGTCGACCCAGCCGAGGTTCATGTAGTCCAGCCTGGTCGCCTTGCCAAACTGCTCCTTGAAGGCGGCCTCGTACAGCCGCTTCACCAGCGGCTTGTCGTCCTTGCCGTTGGTGAAGCTCTTCGTCTCCAGCTCCGCCGCGAACGCAGACGGATGCAGCGGAGGGCGCCGGCCGCCGTCCTGGGTGCAGTCGTTGGTGAGGCTGCCCCAGCCGTACTCCACGCCGTCGCGCATCTTGCCGAGGTCGAAGGAAAGGTGGCCAGCCTTGGTCAGGCTCGCCCAGGCGCTCTCGGTGGCGCACCAGCCGCGGTCAAAGTACTTGGCCACGTTGGTGCCCTCGGCCTGGTCCTCCGCCTTGTGGCCGTCCGGGAAGGAGGTCAGCCGCAGCACGGTCGTGTGCGGGTGGGAGTAGAGCGTGCCGAGGCAGCCCAGCCCCTGCTTGAAGAGCGCGTTCTGCTCCTCGGTGCGCATGCCGCCGTTGGACGGGTCGGGGTGCTGGTGCAGCGAGCCGAAGTCCCAAAAGACGCCGAGCCGCGGGATGAGGTCAGGATAGCTGAGCAGGGCCTTGAGCGCCCTTGCGACGCGGGCGAGGTTGGCTCCGATCGGGTCGGGGTGGTCCTTGGTCAGCCACGGGTAGGAGAGCGCGGCGACGGGAAGGCACGTACGAACGGTCGCCTCGACAAGGTCGGCGAGGGAGAGGAAGGCCTCCTCGGGCAGCGCCTGGCGGTGGGTGAGGACGCCGCCCGCCTCGGCGTGGCTGATGATCCACTGCGCGTCGAGGAGGGCGACGGCGCCGCTCGCGAGGACAGGCTCCAGGTCGCCACCGCCGTGCTCGCGCCACTTCTCCAGCTTCCACTCGCTCACGCCGAGATCGGTGGCGGAGGGGAGGGCGGCGGTCGGCTGCGTTGACGCGGCGGTGCCGGCGGGCGTCGGGGCGTCGCGTTCGACGGCGGGAGGGCCGGGCAGCTCCTCCCTCTCGGTCGGGGCCTCGACGCGGCTGGAGTAGCAGCCCATGTGGGACCAGCCCGAAGGCGATCGCCAACCGCGTCGATCAGGAGTCCCGGGTACCGGTGCCCATGGAGAACATGAGCCCACTGTGACGGCGCCTTGGAAGTCCACGTGCCTGCATCAGCCCGGCCTAGTACTCGTTGTGCCCACAGGATACGGGTAGGAGGAGTAGGACACGCAAAGTGACCCCGTTGCGCTTGCCTCTTCCTTGCTTGTGCTTGGGTCTCGATCGAGGGTGAGCGAGCGAGCGAGCGGGTGGTTGGTTTGGATGGGCTACGCGAGAGTAGGGTGTGTGTGGTGCGTCGAATTATTTATCACATGTGAACCGGTCATGTATTTTCTTCTCAATAACAGGTCATGAATTTTGCTTTTGGCGAAGTAAAAGTGGCGCGAGAACAGTCGATGCTCGGATTCGCATAGGTCATGGACACAACAATGAGCGACAAAGCCAAGAAGCTGGGGCCGCCAAAGGGCAAAACGCTTCGGAAGCTCAAGTACAATGGGGCGAGAAGAGACGCCGGGAAGCACGAAGAGGCTGCAAAGGCTTGCTCGGTACCCGCCTTGGACGCAATGGAGCGCTCGGTACCCACCTTGGACGCAATGGAGCGAGGTTCCACTGCCTCGCCAGGCAGCCAGTCCGCCACAAGTGCCTTTGGCACTCGGTACGTCTCTGACTCAATCGTCGACAAGACATTATCGTGGTTAGCATTCTTCGTCGTGGTGATGCCAATCGGCGGGTTTCTCATCATCACCGGGGTGGTTTCAGGGCCCAGACACTTCCAGAAATTCGCGTTGTGGTGTCTCACCGGCCCATTCCGCAGCTCGCTGCTCGGTGTCCTTCTGGCACGGATCCCCTCCATCGTGTACGACTTCTTCTGGAACGCGCTCGAGTTTTTGGGAACGTTTGAGCAGCGCATGTGGACCGACAGCCTCAATCCAGACCGGCGCGCGTATCTCGACGGCTCCTTTGGACGCAATCTCGTGCTGTGGGACACAATGCGTATTGGAGACTACGATCTGGCGCGCGAGATTGCGCTCGATCCGAAGCGTAAGCGCGCCGCGTGCCTAGATGGCTGGCTCATCAAGGGTGCACAGCTGCCGTACGCGACCAACCTGCCCCTCTTCTTCAACACCGGCAGCGAGTACCACTCGGCCTGGCGCACGGCCTTCAAGCGCCACATCACTGCGCCCGAGTCTGTTGTGGCCAAGCTCGCGAATGGTGGCGAGGGCGCTCGCGAGAAGCTGCGGCTGCGGCTCGAGGCCTGGCTGGGGCCAGGCTGGGGGTCGATCAAACCGCCCAACTTCCCAGGCAGCAAGTGGCTGGTGCAGCCGGTGTTTGAGACGCTGATGGGGATTCTCTTTGACACGGAGGAGCTGCCTGAGGACCTGATTGAGAAGGTCGCCGTCTACACCACCGCGGGCGCAATGTACTGGCTGCTAGCGCCCTCGTACCCGCCTCTCTTCCAGACTGCGGGGACGCTCGCGCCACTTCGCCTCAAGGAGTACCTCTACCTCAACCACAACGCAGCCAAGCCAGATCAGCTGCGCGGCCGCGCAGTGGACTGGCGCGCGATGGCGGACGAGGTGCCCGGGGTTGAGACCGTGACGGCAAACGCAAACGGCGAGCGGCCGCCGGACGGTAGCGAGCCGCCCGTGTTTTGCGACTGCATGGGCGGCTGCTGCCTCCGCTGCATGCTGGACACGGGGGAGAAGAATGCGACGAATCAAGGCCCCTCGAGAGCGGAGGAGAAGGTGGATCGGCTGCTGGACTCCGTCTGCGTCGCGATGCTTCTCGCAGCGACGGCGGGCACGACCACAGCAACAGGAAACGTGCTGAAAAAGTTTCTCCACTTCCCCCAGTCCTTCTACTTTCCGCAGTTTGGCTTCAACATCTTTGGCTTCGGGCTGGCGCTCAACCAGCACGACTGGCAGGTGTACAGACCCCCCCTCCCCCTCCCCCCTCTCCAGCTTGACGCGCGTCGTCTCTTCGCTGTAGCCCGATGCGGAGGAGATGGCGGCTCTGTACCGTGCCAACCCAACCGACTTTGTCCTGGAGACGCTACGACTCGCGTGTCCTGTCGCCGGCTCGCACAAGGTGCTGGACAAGCCGATGGTCTGCCCCTTCATGAAGGAAATGGTCACGCTGCCAGAGAATACGGTCCTCGTCGCCAACTACGGATCCGCGCACCTCGACCCGAAGGAATGGGGCGACGACTGGCGCGACTTTCGGCCGGGGCGCGCGCCGCGCGACCGCTACCTGGTTTGGAACGGCCCGTACGGCGGCTCGGCGCCGCGTCAGTGCCCGGGTGAGGAGCTGTCCATGGTCGTCATCACGACCGTCATCAGCGCCTTCCTGGACAAGTTCATGCCCGACGGGACCATCAACACCGATGCGACACCGGCGACAGCAGCAGCGTCGAAAGAGACCTACACCGATGACCAAGTCGAGAAGGCGCATACAGAGCGCGAGGAGCACCCGCTGAAAAAGTGCTTCGAGTACGCTAGGGGCAGGTCACCGCCCCTCCCACCGAACTGAGCGGTGTGTGGCGCTGGCCGGTGCAGTTTTGCGCGGCCTGCGAGGTGGGGCGAGTTTTCCTTTTGAGAGTCTGTGTTGTTTGTGGCGCGGGCTAATCGTAAAATCTCATCAAAGTTACTCGCGCCGGCACGCGCGCAATTTATAGAGCTCCTTAGTACATGACTTCCGGCAGTACCACTGTGTCTATTGGATCGCTCGCGCAAGCGCAACGACCCTGGCACATGCAGAGCTCGAGCAATCGGCCCCTTATCCACAGGTCGTTGCTGGCAGAGCTGTCCGTCCCGCCCGATCTCCGACGTGGCGACTCGCGCAAGCCCGCGGCGATCCGCTCCGACGTCAAAGTGGCAATGGACGGCGATGGTGGCATGAGGTGCAAGCACCGAAGGCCGCGGCGTCTCTCCCAAGCGGACGCGGGTGCGGAAGGGTGCTCTCCGGCGGCGCGACAGCAAACGCTCCGCCACTGATCAAACCGAGGGATCGCCGCGGGCGGACGAGTGCGCAAGACCGCGGTGTGACATCCGGCGGCGCCGCGGTGGCCGCCGAGAGGTGGCCGTCGAGAGGACAGCTACAGGACGCTGCTCGTCACCCCCATGCCGGGGTGGTGCAGTAGTGCAGGACGAGGGTCGAGCCCGTCTGGTGGCAAGGGCGCGTGCGCGGTGCTCAAGTGGGCGCCCTCCGGATTGTGCGCGTGTGTGCGCGTTTGCGCGTGCGTGCGGTGTGCGAGTGCGCCTGAAAGCACTGCGCCACATCGCCCAGGGTCTCATCCAACGGCGGGGCGAAGGCCGTGCTGCAGTAGAGGAGCAGCGGTTCGTGCGGTGCGATCCCGAGCTGCTTGCGCAGCTGGTCTGCAGTCATCGCAATCGTGGTGGAGGCGGAGAGCTTGAAAGTGGAGCGCTTCAAGATCGGCGCATCACCGGCGTGCTTGAATGTAACCGTCACCTTCCCGTCCGACGACAGCGAGCCCGCGAAGGACGCGAGGGCGGTCGACATTCTCCGCCACGCCGAGCAAAACGCAGCCTTGAGTGCTCACGCTCACGCTCGGCGCCAACCGACTCCCTCCCGGCGCGCCTGGGCGCCCGGCCGGCCCGAGGCGGGGTGGCCGGGAACCCCTATTGAGCACTTGAGCACTGGATAGGGTCGATTCCGCATGGTACGGGACCCCTCGATCGTCTCGCCCTCCCTCACTGGTGTGTTCATTGGGGGGGGGTCATAACAAACACGGTACAGGATCCGATTCGAGGTGCACGCTGCCGAAGCAGTGTCGTCCCCCCTCTCCCCGACGGCGATGGCGGTGTGACCGATCGAGCTACAAGAGGAACTTGTTCAGCAGGATCCAGGACAGGTCTGACGCACTACCTCACCGAACCCCTATTCCGGAGCGGTTTCCCCGAAGGGTTAGCGCAGAAAAAGCCGGCCCCCTTAGAAGCTCCGGCTAGGGCTATTGGGCCTTCGAAGCCGACCACGAGGAAGGCCGACTTAGGGCTTGCATAGCGGGCCGAGAAGGCCGCCCACACCCGCGAGCGAGGATGGTTGTGTGTGTGGGTGCCTCCCCGACCGACTCGGACGGCCGCCTCAGAGCACAGAGGGCGGGCATGCTTCCTCTCGCCCTCTCACCCGCGGGAGATGGCCGAGTCCACGGAGCCGCACGCTGCCTCTCATTGGACTCAAGGCTCCGACTTTTGGGGGGGGGACTTCTACATGTACCCCAGGATGGGGAGGTAAGCTCCATAGTGGGCGCGGTATTCTTTGGGCGGCGGGGGAGGGGTGCGTGGGGGGGATGGCGGTGTACGTACTGAGCGTCGGTGCGAATCGTTGCTGCATACCAACTAACACGCTTGCGGCTGCTCCGCCGAAGGATTATTAGGTAAGGAAAGGTAAGGTAAACTTCTCCACACACACAAGGTGGTGGGGCAAGGGGGAACCCTCGCGACTCCACGTCTTAGACGACGGAAACCCCACGGCATTGAATGGCGCAAAAGGGGCCCGTGGTGGCTGGTGGCTGGTGCGCGCGCGGGTGTGCTTATCCTAAGTGAGTAGTGTGTGTGTGTGTGTGTGTGTGTGTGTGTGTGTGTGTGTGTGTGTGTGTGTGTGTGTGTGTGTGTGTGTGTGTGTGTGTGTGTGTGTGTGTGTGTGTGTGTGTGTGTGTGTGTGTGTGTGTGTGTGTGTGTGTGTGTGTGTGTGTGTGTGTGTGTGTGTGTGTGTGTGTGTGTGTGTGTGTGTGTGTGTGTGTGTGTGTGTGTGTGTGTGTGTGTGTGTGTGTGTGTGTGTGTGTGTGTGCGTGTGCGTGTGCGTGTGCGTGCGTGCGTGCGTGCGTGCGTGCGTGCGTGTGTGTGTGTGTGTGTGTGTGTGTGTGTGTGTGTGTGTGTGTGTGTGTGTGTGCTGTGTGTGGTGTCGGGGTGGGGCGGGGGTCACGTCGGTGCATCCTCTGCCGGCTCCTCCCGTGGCCTCTTCTTTGTTCGACGCATTTAAATCCTCCATCCTTCACGAAGCCTTCCCATGTGGCGCGCTAGCCGCTAGCGAGTAGCGTTCTTCTTGGATGTCTCCTCTGGGGGGGCGCGGGGGCCCCCGGAGGCACCGTGCGCCGCGCAGCAGTGCGGAAACCGCGGCCGGCCCCGGCTCTATTAGTCTCTATTAGCACCGACTTCCCGATCTAACGGTCTAACAGAGGGCAGATTTGGAAAGATCTCGAGGAGTACATACAGACAGACCCTCCAATCATCAGAAATCTCCAACCTGATCGGTCGTACTGACCGCCGACAGATCACTCCACAGCAGACAGGCCGACGTCTGCACGCAGCCGGCCGGGCGAGAGGCTTGACACGATCCGACCCTGCGAGAACCTGACGCTGCTGCTCTAGCTATCAGACATGCGCTGCTGACTGCTGCCACAATGTGCGACCTGTGCTGGCCCACTTGGCGGCCTTCCCGGTCAGTGGTGAGGCGCAGTTCAGAGCTGTCGATGGCGCGATGCCGCACTGGTCCCACATTGGTGACACGAGACCACCAAGTTTGCCGGTCCAAGAGAGAGGCACCGGCGCTGTCCTGAGAAGGTGCGTGGTCCCTCTTGACTGCCCATGATGGCGCGCGAGGCTGTGTAGGCATAGCCTCGAGAGTGCCAGCAGCCAATCCGAGGCAGTTTGTGACGCGCATTGCGTCAGAAGCGTGCACACGATGGAAGGACACCTTCCTACTGGCCGTAGGATCAGGTCGTCACTGAATGCTTGATACTAAGGCCGCGAGCTATGCAGGTGATCAATTGTGCATCATGGCACGGTCAGCAGCGCCGACAGGCTGTCGCAAGGCGTGATAGCATGGCCGCAAGGAAGCGCCGAATTCCCACATGAAAACAAGTAAAAAATGGCCAAAAAATCCAAAAAATCGGCGCCTGCGGCGGGCCATGGGACCCCATCCCCCCCCCCGCATGGACACCCTCTGGGGCCCCCGCGCCGGCCCAGAGGATGTCTCTGCACTCTGGAAACGACCACAGCTCAGTGCGACAGTGGGCGGGCCCGCGGGACGCGTTACACGCGACGCGACTGGGCCGTAAGGTACACTAAGTTTCTGTGCGTGTGCTAGACCACTTTTTGCTCTCTGTCACAACAACTCACTCTCACACTCCTCGCCCAGCTCCTCTGCAAGCCCACATACTCTTGAGACGCCCAAGTCATCAAACCCCGCGTGCGGGGCCACTCGGCTCAGCCTCGGCCGCCCCTCGCCGTTGGCGTTGCCCGCCGCCGCCGCCGCCTCCTCCGCCGCGTCAAAGTACCAGAGCGTCACGGCGAGGCGACGCTGGCTTGGCCCGGTCGGCAGCACGGCATGCGGAACCCGCTCGTCCGAGAGGAAGAGGACGAGCCGGTCGGCGAGCGGCTCGATGTCGACCTGTGGACATGTCTCGGACGTGTCCTGGACGTGTCGTGGACGTGGCCAAGGCGCGGCTCGATGTCGGCCAGCGGCGGCGAGGTGGGCAGGCCGGGCGAGAAGAGGCGGAGGGCGCCGTGCGTCGGGTCCTACAAGAAGGATCGAGAGAAGGGCCCGAGAAAGGTCCGAGAAGGGTCCGTGACAGTGGCCAAGAGAGAAGCGAAGCTGCGCCTCTGCGGGCGGATTCAGGTAGTAGACGGCGGTGGCGCGCCGCCCGTTGCACCGCGCGCCCGCGCCGCCCGAGCAAACGTTGTCTAGGTGTCGCACGTAACGGGTGCCTGGGGGATGGAGGGAGAGGGAGGGGGAGGGTGGGGAGGCAACGCCGGTCGGAGGACGCGGGTGCTGTGTTTGGCAGCGAGGGCCCGTGCCGTTGGGTGGATAGCAAGCCAGCATCGCGTCCGCGGAGCGCCAGTGCGTACCGGCCAGAGGCGCGCTGCCGGCGTGGTCCCTCAGCGCAGCGACGAGCCCTGACGGTAGTACCCACGGACCGTGGAATGGCGTTTCATGCCCACTGGTTGTATGGGACAATCAAGCACACCGTCAGTGCGGTTTGCGAGGAGGTCAAGCGGTCTCAGCAGGCCGACCCTCCCACCGCTGCCGTCGACGCGCTGCCAGCGCGAGACGTCCGAGCGGAGGGCCGAGACGCGGCCCGAGCGCACCTGGCCTGACGCTGCACCGCCGCTGTCGCAGAGTGCGCGGCCCTCGAGCTCGTCCCGCACGGCTCCCATTGCGGCGGCGCCGAGAAAGCCGTCCAGCACTGCAAATCCGTTCGCCTCGAGCTGCCGCGCCACCTCGAGCGCCTCGCGGGCCGGGCTGGACCGCAGCCGCGCGAGGCGGCGGCGGGCCGAAGTCAGGCGGCGGCTCGGCGGCGGAGGGGGGCCGACGTCGAGAGGAGGCGGGTGGTACACGGTGAGCGCCATATACACCCACACTTACAATGCACAAGTGCACTGACTTTCAGCTTCCGGTTCGTGCGTGCGTGGGATCACTTGTAGTGAGCGTCGGGCTGGTGGTTCGACACCGAGTTCGAAGATCTGTTGCTCTCTTCACATAAACGCACAACTCCGGACCCAAGACGCACAAGCACAGACAGTCGAGAAGGGGGAGAGACAGCAACTCTTCACAGGAAAATCCTGTGAAAAACCGGAGAAAAAACAGAAACGATACTCCGAAAGAAGGTGTCCCATCCCAAATTCGTGCCGTCGACAGACCAGATTCGTGGTCCCTTGGTCGACTACACCCCGCCTTTGGACGGTAGACCGACACAATACATTTGTCTGTCTTTTTGGATTTTTGGTTCGTGTGGGTAAGGGTTTTGCGAAACCTCCTCACCAGACACCACTGCGAACACTGTCTTGCTCGTAGGAGCCGTTCGTCCTTTGTGCTTTGTCCGAGCAAACGCGCGCCCGATCACCCCGAGAAAAGGAAGAGGATTGGCGAGAGGAAATTGTTTTAGGTTTGAGAGAGAAACCTTCTCTCTAGGTTTGTTGTTAGCAAATCAAGAAGAAGAATCATAATGGGAGGAAAGCGGCGAGTCGCAATTCCTGGGGTCCTTGTGGCGGGCCACCCTGTCCAGAGTAAATTGGCTGAGCGTTTCTAGACGGTCATGGATACTTTTTTCCTAAAAAAGAAAAAACCGGCGTCGAGCAAGGAGTGTGGGAGCCCCAGCCAGGCGCCCCCAGGCGCGCTCATTGCTCTTCGCATGAGCAAGCCCACTTCCGCGAAGCCCTCGGAAGCATACATGGCAAGGAAACGCAACGCCGCGAAGGTGAACGCTGTGACGACCGGCGAAGCCCCGTGGGGCAACATCGAAACCAACGTGCTCTCCAAGCCGCCCGAGAACGTGCGTCATCTCTCTTGTGCCCCCGAAGCGTCGCCGGCGCGCTGACGCGCGGCGTGCGCGCTCTGTAGGTGTCTGCGGACGCGTCCTGGGCCTCCGTGATCGGCATGTGGCTGCTGCTGCCTCTCAACATCCTGCAGGCGATCTTCGGCGCTCTGCTGCCGATCGTCTACCGCAACTATTCGTGGTGGGCGGCCCAGTCGGTCGGGTGCGGGCGGCCGTTCCTTCTCGCGTGGACGTGGTGGCGTTACGTGCTGACCGGCCTGCTCGCCCTCATCCTCCCCTGCACGGGCGGCGGGTCGCGGCTGCGTCTGTTCCGGTGGGAGTGGGCGGCCTTCGGGAAGGGGGAGTACTGGTACCACGGCGAGGGCGTCTGGGCGTGGACCTACGCCATGGTCGACGCGATCCAGAAGGGCAGTCAGGCGCGCAAGGCGGCCTTCGGCTGCATCGCCGCCGCCATTCCCGACCTCTTCCCCAAGGGGATCCTCATCTTCTTGCCAAACTCGGGCAAGAGCCCTGAGGCCGAGGCGAGCCCTGCCGCGGAGGAGAAGAACGAGTGGTGGTGGATGCGGCAAGAGTTCCACAAGATCTTCTTTGCGGGCAACCCCGGCTACTACGAGCGGCTGCAGAACATCGGGCCGTACCTCAAGAAGAATGGGGTCGTGCCGGACCGCTCCAAGCTCGACGACAAGGAGTACCTCAACGGCCTCGTCGTGCAGTGCGTCATGTGCGCCACCCGTGGGGGCAGAGAGCGCTAGGGCGCACGGGCCACCTCACGGCTGCCTCACAAGCTCGCCCCCACGGACAGGTACGTCATCTTCGACGCGTACGCGGAGGGAGGCACCATCGGCTCCACTGGCCTCGACCGCTCTGTGCCGGCCAACTGGGACCACGCAGAGTACGAGCCGATCTGGCTGAGCCCAGACGAGGTCTCGCAGATGGTCAACTGGCGCGGGTATGCCGCCTACTGGGTGCTGCCGCGGCTGCTGCAGCGCTTCCTCTTCAACTTCCTGATCGGCAGAGTCAAGGGGCTCCGAAAGGACTCGGCGGACCTCGTCGACAAGCACAGGCTGCGCGCGCCCTTCGAGAAAATGAACAGCCAGCTGCCCGTGCAGTACCGCAGCGAGTACGGCGTCGAGCTCATGGACAAGGTCTTCTTCATCTTTGGCTTTGCCGGCATCGGCGGCACCTCGGCCGGCGTCGAGTCGACGGGCCAGTTCCTTCAGGGCAAGACGGGCGAGATTGGGGACGGGCTGGTCACTTTCCCGCCCGGCTACGACGGCTTCGCGATGTGGAAGGACGGCGACTCCTCCACGCGGCACAACTTCATCCGCGAGGTCTGCCGCCTCGACCCTCCCGTCACCTCCGCCACCACCTCCTTCGTCGCCGAGAAGACGATCCTGCTCTACAACGGCGTCGGCTGCCCAAACGCGTGCGGCGGAAACAAGGAGACGACCTTCCCCAAGGGAACGCTCAACCAGTACACCCTGTCGATGGCCAATCGAGACCCGACAACGTTCGCTGAGCCGCAGACCTTCAACCCGTCCCGCGAAGAGCTGGACAAGGCCCTCCCATCCTAGCCTCCTGCACACCTCCTCGACACCTCCTAGACACTTCCTAGACACCTCCTAGACACCTCCTAGACACCTCCTAGACCGAGCTGTGCAGAACTGGGCCAGGCGCCGCGCGCGCGCCTCGCGCCTTCCGTCTCGCGAGGCGCCTCCCCCCGGGGCACGTGTCCTTCTTTGCATCCGTCTCTGAATTCTTCTTTGTAGGCGCTCACGTGGAACGGCGCCTTCAAGTCGACCGCGCCGGGCCCCGAACCCGACGCACTCGCCGCGCAGTACCCGCGCATCTGCCCCGGCCGCAAGCTCTCCATCTACATCATCGAGGCGATCATCAACGCCCTGATTCTCGAGGATGCCCCCACCGCCCCCTGAGCCGGCAGGCGCGCCCGGGGCCCCGCATTCCTCGCGCGATGCGCCTTCTCCGGCGCTCGCAGCGGGCGGCGGGGGGTTCGCGCATGCGCCGCCCTCTACCTCGGGACGGGTCTCGGAGGTGGTCTCGGGAAGGTGCTCCGCGCTTGCTGGGCCGCGTCGCTCAAGACAGTCGGCTGCAAAGCATTCGGTACGCGCATGAGGTGAGATCTGGCTGAGGGCGGGGGACGTACACCGGTCGGCCATGTGCCGGGGTAGCCACGGCCATGGAGGAGGGGGGGGGTATGGGAATAGGATTGCTCCGTCGCGCGCTCTCGTGAGTCTCCGTCTGCACTAGGCGGTGGCGAGTTTCGGAGTCTTCCTTTAGCTTCACACAGCAGCCCACATGCGGCAGTGGCGCGAGAAATCGCGAAAACCAATTTTGGGATCCCTCACGCAGCACAAAAAGAAAGAAATCGCAAGGCGCCGTTGCCTCCCCACCCCGCCACGCTTGGCGTCGCTAGCCTCGACTAGCCGACATATATGCCCGCCTCACGCTCCCGCGCCACCGCCGGGCTCCGCACGCCGCCGCCGTCTGCTGACAGCGCGCCGGGTGGTGAAGTCCCAAAGAACGTCCTGAAGGCGGCTACGGACGGCCGCGAGGGACCGGTGCGACAGTGGCTGAATGACGGCGGGAAGGCGGACACTCTCGCTGAGCGACCCACTGAGGCCGGCAAGATGGATCCATGCACCCTGCTGATTATCGCCGCACAGAACGGGCACGCGCAGATTGTCGAGCTCCTTCTGAAGCGTGGCGCGCACGTCAACCTGCTTTGCATTGGCGGCATCACTGCGCTCAACGCTGCCGCCTACTTCGGCCGCGAGCGAATGGTGGACCTGCTGCTGCAGCACGGAGCGGAGATGAACCCGCAGGACTCCGCCGATGCGGCGCTGGCAGCGGCTGCCCGAGGCGGAAAAGAGCGGGTGGTCGATCTGCTGCTGCGGCGTGGCGCGGAGATCGACCTGCAGGACCGCAAGGGCTGCACCGCGCTGATGCTCGCCGCCTACTTCAACCGCCCCGCTGTCGTGCTCCGCCTGCTGCGGGCGGGCGCAGACATGGCGTTGCGCGATGTGTACGGCAAGACGGCGCTGCAGTGGGCCAAGGAGAAGGGCCACCCCGAGTGCGTCGAGGCGTTCAGGACGCATATCGGGGAGGTGGCGGCGAGCCGGAGCAAGGCGCCGTCGGCCAAGGCTGGCGGCACAGGCGCGGCGGTGGGTGCGAGTGCCGCTGCCTCTGCTTCGAGCGGCGAGGGAGCCGCGGAGGCCGAGCCGAGCAGCGGGGCAGTTCCAGAGGAGGTTGTGGACGCGGCTTGGCGAGGCGATGAGGCGGTGGTGCTGGCGTGGCTCGAGGACGGCGGCGGGCGGGTGAACGCGACGTTCGAGTACGTCTTTTCGGACGGCCTCCCTCTGAGCGGCATGACGCTGCTGATGCTCGCAATGATGAAGGGCCACGAGGGGCTGGCCGAGGAGCTGATCCAGCGCGGTGCGGATGTCTCTTTGCATATCAGCAACGGCAGCACCGCGCTGAATCTTGCCGCCGCGAATGGCCGCGAGAAGCAGGTCGAGTTGGCGTTGCGGCACGGCGCGGAGATCAACCAGCAAACTACTCTCGGCAGCACCGCGCTGATGGCCGCCGCCGCAGACGACCACGAGAAAGCGGTCGACACGCTGATCCGGCACGGCGCGGCGATCGACCTGCAAGACAACATCGGCGACACCGCACTCATTTGGGCTGCTTTCAACGGCCGCCCCGCCGCCCTGCTCTGCTTGCTGCGGGCGGGCGCAGACGTGACGCTGTGCAGTGCAGATGGCAAGACCGCGCTGCAGTGGGCCAAGGAGCAGGGCCATGCCGAGTGCGTGCGCTCCCTCGCGGAGCATGCGGCGGCGGAGAAGGCGAAGGCGAAGGCGGCGGCGGAGGCGGCGTGGGCCGCGGGAGCGGCGGAGAGGGCGGCGCAGAGGGCGGCGGAGGAGAAGGAGGCGGCACGGCACGCCGAGGAGCTGCTGGCGGAGATCGAGGCGGAGGAGGAGGCGGAGAAGCGCGCCAAGGGCAAGAAGGGCAAGAAGAAGAAGAAGAACGGCGGCGGGGCGGGCGGGGCGGGGCCGTCGCAGGAGCCCGAGGAGGGTGCCGAGGCGCCGTCGGAGGCAGACGCAGCCGAGGCGGCGAAGAAGGCCGAGGAGACGAGGCTCCTCCTGCTTCTCGAGACGCTCACCGAGGAAAGGATCCGGTTCAGCATCACGGCGGAGAGCCAGGCAGCGGCGTCGGCAGAGGTGGCCGAGGCGGCGCGCTTGGACGCTGCGGCGGACGAGGCGGAGGAGGAGGCGGAGGCGGAGGCGGAGGCGGAGGCGGCGGCCGAGGCGGCGCTGGCGGATGCCGAGGTTGCGCGGGCGGAGTCCAGGGCGGCGCAGGCGGAGGCCAGAGCAGCGCTGGAGGAGGCCAGGGCGGCGATGGAGGAGGTCGTGGCGGCGCTGGAGGAGGCCAAGGCGGCGATGGAGGAGGCCAAGGTGAAGCTGAGCGGGGCCGACTCGGCCGTTGAGGGGGTCGAGACGGCGCGCGCGGCGGCGTTGTCCGCCGCCAAGGCGAGGCGCGCGGCCACTGCCGCTGCGATGGCCAAGGCTGCCGCTGCCAGGATGGCGGCGGAGGCGGCACCGCGCTGGTAGTGGAGCTGCCGAGGGGAAATCGCGTGGCCGCTCTCGGGACGTGTACGGGGAAGCTCGAGGACTCTCTGGGGGCTGTGGTCGCACACATGCATGCTAGTTGGTATTGCCCGCACGCTAGTTGCGCGCCGAGCTCTGCGCGTTCTTGTGTGTGAGAGGCGACAGGGGTGGGGGGCAGAGACCAGAGTCTTGTCTTGGTTCTCTTTTAGAAGAGCTCGGATCCAAGCAGGAGCCAAGCGAGAGGTGAAGGGGGGAAGGTGGTGGCAGAGAGCGCAGACGGGTGAGGCCACATGCCCCACAGGCATCTCAGCACTCAGGCTCGAGCAAGAGGGACTCGGCAACGCCTGCGATCGGCAAGGGGGGCGGACGCTCCCGCCGCGTCATTGTTTCAGACAGACACGCTGCTGTCCACCGGCGACGCTTGAGCATCCGTCCGGGTACCCTCGGGCAGGAGCTAAGAAGCGCACCCAGCGGGCCGGACGATTGGCATCGGGTTCGCGCGGGCAACGAAGAGAGTAGTGCACTGTGGCGGTCGCGTGTGCAACGAAGTGATTACGTTGGATCCAAAAATCGTGGAGAGAGCTATCTGAGTACTGTGAGGGCGGGGGCCTGTTCCTTTTTACCCATCTCACAATAGAGAGGTGTCCGTTTTTATTTATTTATTTAGTACTGTGAGATATCCCGCCGTGCCCGTGGCCGTGCCGTGCGCGGGCTACCCCGCCGGCAGCCCGGCACGCGCGCAGCTGCGCGCGCGAAAACTCGAGTACGTACTTTTATTTAGCGAGACGATCGAGGGGTCCCGTACCACGCGGAATCGACCCTAATCCGGTGCTCAAGTGCTCAAGCTTAAGGGGGAGAAACTCTCGAGTACGTGTTAGTGTATCGCGCGCCTTGCGGGGCCGGGGGGGGCGCGCGGAAAAGAGGAGCCTCTTAGCGCCTCTTAGCGCCATCGCCATGGTGCTTGCTGCAAGCAGCGCCGGGCGACGACGACTTACCGCCCCTCCCCCTCGGCACACCTCCGCTGCTCAATGTTGGACAACTCGAACCCGTGAACTTCACCCGTGCGCGGGTTACCCCGCACACGGTTCAGCCTGCTAGCCACGTATCCACGCTATCTAGATACGAAGTAGAGCTCTACCGATGTGGACAGGGGGGCGCTTCCTGGGGCGCTTCCCAAGAGGAGTTTGGGGTTATCCGCCCGTCCGCAAACCACCTGCATGCCGACGGGCCGCCCGGGCCGCGCGTCGGCAATATTGCGAGTCGTCCTTCGAAGCCTCGCCGAGCTCAAGTTTCTCCTCCTCGTCGCGCTTTCGGCTTACTCGCTGCTCGTTGAGGTGCACTCTGAGACGGAGGGGGAGCGGTGCAAGCGTATGACCGCCGACGTGTGCCCCAGTGAGCGGCTTGTTGATCCCCGGCCCCGTAGCCGTGCAACCGTCTCGTTTGCTGACCGCCGCATTGCACCGCTCTAAGTCCACCCGAACTCTAGGCGAGGCGTCGACCACTCCTTCGGAATAGCTCTGTCAGTGGCTGCACTAGACGCCCAGAGATGGCGCGCGGCGCGGGCGGATGACTGGAAGAGAAAATGCGGAGAGGCTAGCTCGCAGGTAGATGTGCTCAGCCAAGGGTAGGGGATGAGGGGAATGTGTCAGTGTGGGGGGTGCACCAACCGCAGAGCGTTGTGTTTTGCCTTTAAGACTTGAACAGTTTTTTTGAAGAGTGACTTCTCGAAGTCACTCGATCCTTAGGGAGAGACACATATAGGGTCGATTCGCGAAAAAACAAAAACCGCGGCCAGACGCGCAGCAGCGTCGCGGGCGAGAAGGACACGCATCTCGTGGCGCTGCGGGCTCGGCGGCAGGATCCTCGGCGCGTCGTAAAAATGGTGCCATCGAAAGTCGCGATTGCGGCGGAAAATGGCATTGTGGGCCCCGTGGAATCATGGCTTGACGGCGGCGGGCGGATCGACACATCCTTTCAGAATAAAGGCCAAGTCTCCGCCGGCGGCAACGCTCATCAGGAGCAACGCTTCGAGATCGCCATCAAGAACATCACGCTCCTGATGGTTTCCGCCCGCAACGGTCATCAGCAGTTAGTCGAATTGCTGCTGAAGCGCGGCGCGGAGGTCAACTTGTCGGACAGCCTCGGAGCCACCGCCCTCATCGGTGCTGCAGCCAATGGCCACGAGCAAGTGATCGACTCGTTGATCCAGCACGGTGCAGCAATCAACCAGCAAGGAGAGAACGGCAGCCCCGCGCTGCATGCCGCCGCCTTCGGCGGACACGAGCGGGTGGTCGACCTGCTGCTGCGGCGCGGAGCAGAGATCGACCAGCGGAATTATGGTGGCTGGACCGCGATGATGTGCGCCGCAAACTTCGACCAGCCTGCCGTCCTGCTTCGCCTACTGCGGGCTGGGGCCGACATGACGATTCGTGACCTGAGTGGCATTTCCGCGCTGCAGCTCGCCAAGGAGAAGAGCCACACCGCGTGCGTGGACGCCTTCCGGAAGCACCTCGAGGAGCTGAGGGCTCGGCGCGACGCGGCAGCGGGCGAGGCGAGTGCGGCAGCGGCGCTCCTCGGCGGCATGGCGAGCGTGGGCGGCGACTCTTCCGCTCCGTGGGCGTCGAACCGCCAAGGCGCGGGCCCGCCTTCGCTGGAGGTGGGCTCGCGGGTGTGGGCCAAAGACGGCAAGTGGAGAAAGGGGACGGTCCTGGCGGCGAGGGCGAGTGGCGCAGGTGCGTCTGGCATGACCGCTGCAGCGGCGGGATCGAGCACCAGCGAGCCAGCTCCTGCCGGCGGCGAGGGTGACTCTCCCAAGCGGCCGCTGGTGGCCGCACCGGCGACCCCCGACGGACTGCGCGCCATCGCGGCAGCGATGACCGAGCCCGGCAGGCCAAGGTGGCCAGCGCCGCCGCCGTCGGCAACCCAGCCCGCCGGAATCGAGATCATGGGAGCGGTCGAGCGCGGCGACGAGGCGGCGGTACTGGCATGGATCGAAGCCGGCGGAACGATCGAGACGACATGGACGATCGGGCCCGTTTCCGACGGCTCTGTAAGCGGCCTCACGCTGCTGATGAGCGCCGCTCGCTACGGCCGTGATCGGGTAGCCGACTTGCTCCTTCGGCACGGCGCGGGGGTCGACCACCTGCCGCCAGCGTTCGACATGATTGGCATTGCAGGAGGTGCCACTGCGCTGGTGATCGCCGCCCGTCTCGGGCACGTGCCAGTCATCGACGTGCTGCTACTGCATGGCGCGGAGGTCGACCGGCAGGACAGCTACGGGGCAAGCGCGCTGTCGAACGCCGCCCACTACAACTTCCCTGCCGTCGTGCGCCAGATGCTTCGGGCGGGCGCAGACACGAGGCTGCGCGACAATGCTGGCGACACTGCGCTGCAGGTTGCCAAGGCGAGGGGCCACACCGAGTGCGCACACGCCATCGAGGAGCACCTCACCACCGAGAAGGCGGCTGAGAAGGCGGCAAGGGCGGCGGAGCTGGCAGAGGTGACAGCGGTGAGGGAGGCGGAGAGAGCGGCGGCGGAGGTGGAGGCGGCGCGACATGCCACGGCGCTGCTGGCGGAGATCGAGGCGGAGGAGGCGGCAGAGAAGCACGGCAAGGGCAAGAAGGGCAAGAAGAAGAAGAAGAAGAAGGGCAAGGGCGGAGGGAGTGGCGGCGCTGGGCCGTCGCAGGAGCCCAAGGAGGCGGCGGAGGCAGCGGCGGAGGCGGCGGAAGCGGCGGCTGCGTTGGCGGCTGCAGAGGAGGCGGAGCTAGCCGCAGCGCTCGAGGAGAGCGCGAGGCTGGAGGACGAGGCGAGGCGAGGGGCGGGCGGGACGTCGGGCTCCGCGCTGCAGGACGCAGCTCAGTGCCCCGAGCCGGCCGCGGGGAGCGAGGTGCCGCCCGAGCTGCAGTGCCCGCTCTCCTTCGAGATCATGTCGGACCCGGTGATGAACGTCGCTGGCCAAACCTACGAGCGAGTGGCCATCGAGAAGTGGTTCGCGATGGGCAACCGCACCGATCCGATGAGCGGCGTGGTGCTTGAGTCCATGCTGCTGGTGCCGAACGTCGCGCTTCGAAGCATGTGCCGCAAATATCAACCCGAGGCGTGAACCGCCGGCCGACCAAGAGCCCCAGTCGTCTGGCTTCGGAAGAGCATGGCATGAACAGTTCAACAGAGCACAGAGCTCAGAGGAGGCCAAATGCCACACTTTGTCGCACACACTGTCCTCTGATCCTCGCCCGCGGTGGGCACACAATCCCAATCCCCCCCCCCCCCCCCGGGCTCGCTAGCGCGTGCGGCGCCGGCGGCGCGGCGCCCGGCGGGTGTGTGTCGAGAGTTGAGAGTGTTTTTGCCCATTCGCGCGCGTGTGCCTCCGCGCAACCTGTGGTTCCATTATCCATACAGTAAAGTACCGTCTGAAGCCTCTGAGACAGTGACACACACACACCCGTGTACATATGCCACTCGGCTTAAGTACTGCCACCTCTGCTCCTCGACTGCGATATGGCCATGGAGCGGAAGATCCCGATAGATCGCCCCAGCATCGACGGCGTCTCCTCGCTCGACCCCGGCGGCGGTGCACGCGGCTCGGCCTTGGGCGCTCCGCTGGAGCCCGCGCCGAGCGGCGGCGGCGGCGGCGGCGGCGGCGCGGCGAGTAGGCCCTCGATCACGGCGATGGCCGCCTTCTTGCTCGTACAAGCATCCGTGCAGACCGACGAGTGGACGCACAGCCAGCAGCCGTCGTCGCAGTCGCAGCTCGTCATCAGCTCGAGCGCCGAGCGCAGCAGCTCGGGCATCGCCGTGGCCACCCGCTCAGTGAGGCCGATCCCACCGACGCAGCGGTCGAAGAGGAGCAGCCGCTTGGAGCGCAGCTTCCGCTCCTTGAAGGCCTCGCACTCGCAGCCGAGGTCGGCCGGCTTGCAGCTCAGCCGCAGCGGCGTCACCGCCAGCAGCGCGTGGGCCGCCGCATGCAGCCCCGCCTCGAGATCGATCGCAAGCTCCTCCTCCTCCTCCTCGTCGTCCGCCGCCTCCGCCGCCGCCGCCGCAGCCTCTCCTCCTCCTCCTCCTCCTCCTCCTCCTCCTTCTCCTGGTGCTGCTGCCGCTGCTGCTGCCGCTGCTGCTTTACCCAGACGGCCGCCTCGCGATTCCACTCCAGAGCCAACAGCCTCCACCTCCCGGTACGCGCACGACGCAGCCCCGCTCGCCCCTCCTCTCTGAGCCCAAAGTCTCCCCCTAAGGCGCCATATCTCCCCATCTCTCGCCCCTCCCCTCCGGGCATCGCCCCCCCCCGCACCGGTCGCGTGCCAACCCGTTCCGCTCCCCGCCTCTTCCCTCCTGCTGCCGCGCCGCCACGCGCTCCACGCCAGCTGCAGCCGCAAAGCGACGAGGTCGGCTGCCATCTGCAGCGGCGTGAGCGGCGTCACCTTCGAGCCCTCGACGTCCCGCCACGCCACCGGCACCGAGGCGATGCGGTAGCCGCGCGCCTAACCTCTGGTGATCCCGGGTGATCCCGGGTAATCTCGTGTGATCTCGTGTTATCTCGGGTGATCTCGCGTAATCTCGGGCAATCTGGGGCAATCTCTCGCCTGCGCGAGGGCGAGGAGCTGCACGTCGTACGCCCAGCCGCGGATCTGCAGCGACGGGAAGAGCTCGCGCGCCGCGCGGCGGGAGAGAAGCTTGAACCCGCACTGAGTGTCGGGCACGCCCCGCACGCAGGTCGACGCGAGAGCCGCAAAGACGACTCCCATCAGCCTCCTCGCGGCGGGCCGAGCGGCGAGAGCCGCGGCGCGGCAGCCGACGGCCATCTCGCAGCCGCGCGCGCCCACCCGCCGCTCGAGCGCGGGCAGCGCCGCGAGGGGCGTGGCGCCGTCCGCGTCGAGGAGGAGCAGGAGGTCGCCTCGCGCCGCCGCCGCGCCGGCGGCGAGGGCAGCGCCCTTGCCGCGATTGGCCCCACGGCCGGAGGAGAGGAGCCGCAGCCGCGGCTCCGCCGCCAGCCGCGCCGCGACGAGCTCGCACGTTGAATCGTGGGAGCCGTCGTCCACCACGATGATCTCCCACGGGCCTCGCCGGGTGGTCGACAGGTGAGCGAGCGACTCCTCGAGCGTGCGCGGCAGCCTCTCTGCCTCGTCGTACGCAGGGATGATCACAGAGAGAGACGCGGTGCCGACAGTGCACTGCGCGGCCGGCGAGCGCGGGCGCGGCGATGGCAACCGGAGCCGCATGTGTGGGGACCGTGCGCGAATTCTTTTTTCGTAGTCTCCAAACAAACCAAACCAAAATTCTCCATCTCCACCCCGCCGCGCCGCGAACAGTATAAGAATATCGGGCGCATAGACAAACCCCACCACCTCACTGCCCCGGCGCCCACACCTCGATCTTCTTGGGCAGCAGCTGGTTCGGCAGGTCCTCTCCGTGGCCTAGGCTGCCGTGGTCTCCATTGCCCCAGGTAAAGACAGCGCCGTCAGCGGTGATGGCGAGGCTGTGGTATGATCCAGCCGACACGGCGACGACGCGCTGCCCTGCAAAGGCCTCGATCTTCTTGGGCAGCAACTGGCCCTGCATGTCACCGTGGCCCAGCTTGCCAAAGCCTCCACCGCCCCAGCTAGACACTGCCGTTGATGGTGAGGGCGAGGTTGTGGTTGCCTCCGGCCGACACAGCGACGACGCGCTGGCCAGCCAAGGCCTCGATCTTCTTGGGCAGCAGCCGGAACATCCTCTCGCCGTGGCCCAGCTGGCCCCCACCTCCATCGCCCCAGCTCCAGAGAGCGCCATCGGCGGTGAGGACGAGGCTGTGGAAGCATCCAGGCGCGACAGCGACGGTGCGCTGGCCGGCAAAGGCCTCGACCTTCTTTGGCAGCAGCTGGTCCTGCTGGTCGCCGTGGCCAAGCCGGCAAAAGCCTCCACCTCCCCAGCTCCAGACGGCGCCGTCGGCGCTGAGGGCGAAGCTGTGGAAGCCTCCAGCCGCCACAGCAATGACGCGCTGGCCAGCCAAGGATTCGATCTTCTTTGGCAGCAGCTGGTCCTGCTCGTCACCGTGGCCCAGCCGGCCAAAGGCTCCATCGCCCCAGCTCCAGACACTGCCGTTGGCGGTGAGGGCAAGGCTGTGTTCGCCTCCAGCCGAGACAGCGACGACGCGCTGGCCAGCCAAGGCCTCGACCTTTTTCGGCTGCCACTGCTGCTGCCTGTCGCCGTGGCCCAGCTGGCCATAGCCGCCCGGGCCCCAGCTCCAGACACCGCTATCGGCGGTAATGGCGAGGTTGGACCCGGCTGCAGCCGACACGCTCACGGCACGCTCGCCGCCCAGCGGCGAAGGGAGGCGGGTCGGCGTGTTGAGCTGCATCACGCCCTCGCCGTGACCGAGCAGTCCTGGCGTCCAGCCCTCAGCCTTTCCGCACGACGAGAGGCGCCCCTCGCCGTCGATGAAGAGGCTGTGCCGTTCGCCTGCCGCCGCCCTCACCGGCAGGTTGGACTCGCGCAGCAGCGCCGAATAGCACAGCCACCGCACGGCGCAGCCCTCGCCCTCTGGCTGCGCCGGCGGCTCGTAGCCGGCCTCTTGCAGGCGCAAGCGGATGCCCTCCAGCGCAAGCGAGGCGTAGAAGAGCAGCGAGACGGCCGCGACGCGAGCGATGTCGGCGGGGTCGCAGCGAGAGATGACGCGCGCGAGAAGCTCAAGGGGCAGGTCGGTGAGGGGGCAGTGTGTGGCGGCGGCGGAGGCGGCGGCGAGGCGGCGCGAGCGGCGGCGGGGTGGGGTGGACATCGCGAGGAAAAGAAAAACTTCCGCGCGCGGCCTCGAGGGCGACACCCTCCCTGCGAACTCTTTTTCGGTGGTGTACCGGTAGACAAGACTACCCTTCCACCACCGCGAGCCTCGCCCTGCTGAGCCGCGTCCTAGTTGGTGGCCATACCTAGGAGAGTTGGATCCAAAAGATGCCACCAATTCGCCGAGCGAGTGAAAGACCTAGCTAGTTGAGAAGCTCCATTCAAGCTCCTACCTGCTACCTAGCAGGAGAAGAGATGAAGCAGGCGCTAGAACCTAGATGGCGGGGACTGGCCGATCGATGAGGGGATGAGAGTGGCGGCTAATGCGTGCACGTGGGCGGCTGTCCTGAGGGGGGGTGGGATGGAAAGTCAAATCCAGAGGTTCATAAACTTAGCCAACTCCACGTTAGCATTACACATGTACTGTATCATTACAGTACTAGAGCTGTTTAACGTTGGGAGCTGAACAGTGTTGCTAGTGTTAACAGTAACAACAGAACAACAGTGGGGCTCCCCAACAACAGTAGCTAACGTTAGGCCGGCTGAACAACAATAAGGAAGGCCTGGCAGTGACCCACGACGACCTCCAGTGTCCAGTGCGGGTAATACCCGAAAATACCCGGGAAAACCCAGGTATTTTCGGGTTTTACCCGGGTTTTTTGCCGTTTTCTGCTTGCTGGCCGCTGAACAACAGTAACAACAGTAACAAACAGTAACAGCATGGGCTGGGGTGAACACTTGAACAACGTTAAGGATTTCAGCCAACACTAGCGCAACTGTTAGGCCCAAAGTTAATGTTAAACAGCTCTATACAGTACGGTAGGCAAATAGGTGCAAGAACGCATGGCAGCGTGCGACGTGAGCAATCCAGGGTGTTGTGCCAACGGTACTGGGCTGGGTTTTTAGGCATTGTGGGGTTGGCACTCCCATCGACCCTCATGACCTCCTGCGGTCTCTGAGATGGACACCAGTGGGTGTGGGACCACAGTCAGGATACACTCGAAGGCTGGGTAAGCAGTAGAGGTCGATACTCGACGCGTCCCACATGGTCTGTGTCGCTGTCGGCACGCTGTCGACAGGACGTCGAGCGACACCGGTGGCAGTGCCACCCAGGAGTGGTCGGGCGGTTGCCCGTCATGAGAGAGCCACCATGTGATCCGTATGATGATTCCTGACAACCGCCTCAGTCAACTTTCGTCACAGTTCCCGCTCTGAGAGGAGCTGCGGGTCAGCTCGACAGCTGGAGCTGTGTCGCCGGCGTGCGGCGGCCTGCCTCCGGAGGTGCCTCTAGGTGGACATTTTTTGGTCACCGTGAGAGAACGCGTTCGAATTTTCACTCCGGAACTTCAACTCTGCACGCGCACCGGCCAGGGCTACAATAGTGCCAGTGAGGCGGAGGCGCGAGTCGGAAGGCCGCGACCGTCAAGTGTTTTCGACATTTTCCTACAATCGCTGTGAACCCAGCCACGTATTGAGTGCACATTTATCTTTTATGTTTTATGTTGTGTGCATGCGCATGTGCGCACTGGTGGATGCACACAGCTACACAGCACCTCACACGACAGCCATACTGTATACGCCGACCGAGGACCGCTCACATCACACCACACAGACACGGAGCGAGCTTCTCTCCTTCACCTGAGGCGCTCACACGTGCGGTGGCGGCTTCGGGTCGTATCCGTGCGCCATCAGGGCGTGTTCCCTATCCATGTATAAACCCCGGACGCATGTGCACACGTATTTCCTGCACCGGATCGACACGCCGACGCGCGATGCAAGCGTCGTCCGTGTTCCGCTCTCGCCGCGGCCGTCACCACGCTCCGCTAATGTTGCTCACGTCGCCGCGTCGCGCGAAAGTCGTCTACGCCTTTTTCTTCTTCGCCGAGCCCTTGGCCCTCTTTTCTTGGGCCGGCGCCGCTGCGGACGTGTCGGCGGTGGATGCTCTGCTCGCGAATAGTGTCCCATTCCGGAATTTGCCGAGGAGCACGCCGGCTGCAAACCACGCAATCAATATCAGCCACGTCGTTGGATTGGCGATGTTCTCGTAATCGGTGAACCACTCGAGTTTGGAGGCGATCTGCGTCTTGGATTGGCGCAGGCCATTCATCAGCAAGCTCGTGAGGTTCAAGGAGCCGCCTGCAGACGGCGACGCGATTGTGGCGCCGGTCGGAGCAGCTGCTGGCGTCGTGGTGTTGCTCGGGGCGCGTGACTCGTTCAGATGCTTCGCGAGTTGGAAGGCGAAAAAGAAGCCGGCCATGTTGAAGAGCTTCTTGAAGGTGTCAGCGGACGGCATCGGTCGCAACGTCCCTGGCGGCCCTAGGAGCTGGCGAGTAGGCTTGGATGGAGCAGAATCCGGACGAGTCCCAACGGGTCCTCGGAGAGGGTACCCCGGGTGGGCGGGGCCTCTACTCGCAAGCCCTAGGAGAGTTGGATCCAAAAGATGAGAAGAAGAATTCGCTTGAAAGACCTACTTCTGTGCTCTGGAGGGAGGGAGGGTCCGACGCTTTTTTTGTTCCGGCCCGTGCGTAGTGAGCTCATCATCACATCTCCTGAGGCCTCCACGAACGCCGCATTCACCTGATCCCGGGCCTTGTCAGCGGCTTGCTCCCCTTTCTCCGTCGCCTCGCGCATCAGATTTGCAAACGACTCCGCCAGGCCCGTTTGCCTTTCGAAGAGCGCTGCTTGCCACCTGCTGCACCGATGACCTGGATGCAAGTCTTGAGGCCACGCACATAATCAAAACAAAACCACCGGCGGCCCCACGACGGCGTCCTCGCCGCCTGGGCGGACGCGATGCGCGCCCCGGCCAACGCGCCGGTCGTGCACGGCGACAAGGAGAAACCAGAGCTCACCCGGCAGTACAATGAGGGGTACAAGACTGACCTCGCAGAACCCCACGCGGGACCGGGAGGATGCGATGAAGTAAATGAGATCAAGCTCTGGACGCCCCTCCTCAAGACCTCCTCGACAGGCGTTGGCAACGCCTCGAGTGGCGGCACGCCCGCCTCCGTCGGCCACTCCTACGCCTTTTCGGCAACACCGAGGAGAAGGCCCGCCGCCTGAACATGGGCTGCAAGGCGCGCGGGCAGCCCGGCCAACCCTTCGACCACAAGACCGGCCACGGCTACGTCAAGGCGCATCGCGGTTTCTACCACGACGCGATCTTTGTCAAGCGCAATAACTTCAACCTGCTGCTCCACGAGACGTTCGGCGGCGGCTTCTCGCCCACCGCCGTTCTCAAGCTGCGCCGCCTCGCGCGCAAAGTCGCGCGCGGCAGCGTTGACCGCACGGCCTACTCGCCCAAGTACTCGCTCTCTTTTATGTCCCACCATGCAGAGCGCATCTCTCTCTCTGTTGTGCGAGGCGTGAACCGCGCCATTCGCTCTCACCTGGCAACCCTGTCTGCACGTCTCGCGCGCGCGTGAACAGGGCTCCAGGCCCCAAATTACGTGTGAGTGTTAGAGTTGTTTGGTATTGCTAAAAATCTCTCACATAATCAGGAGCCGGAGCCTTGTGTACACTTGGCGAAGCTTCGTCGTCGAGCTGTTGAGCGAGCGACAAGATGGCGTAGTCGAGTGGCGTGCTCCGCGACGCGTAGTAACCCGAAGAAGGATCCGCGCCAGTGCCGCCATCCAAGCAGTTGGGGTTGGCGCCGCGATCGAGCAAGAATTGCACCAGCGGCGCTTTGCCGGCCCGTGCGTAGTGATGAAGCATGGTCGCCCCAGCTCGCAGTCGAAGGGCAGGTGCAACAGCTCCGGCGTTGGCGCACAGAGGCATCGCGACGAGTAGAGAAGTAGTACAACCCGGTCGTAATACTGCTCCCACTGCTTTTCTTTCCTTAAGATTCTTTCCTTCTTGCGTTCCGACTTATTCACCCGTCCCTATCGCGCGCATCCCGACCATGTCAGAGCTGGACAAGCCACTGCTGGAGGTTGGTCGAGCCCGCCTCGCCGAGCGCGAGGCTGAGAAGAAGCAGGTGAGCTTTGGTGAAGAAGAGAAGCGCGACAGCGACAGCGTCCGGAGCGACTCCTCGCACTGGGTGAAGGTCAGAGAATACCTTGATGTTCAACGTCTAATGGATGGCATGGGGCGGGCACAGCTGCATGTTGTGACGGTCGACGAGCTCAAATTCCGGTTCTTCAGCCTCGGCCTGCAGGTCGGGTTGTGTAGTAGCCAGCGACTCTTCAATGAGAAGCAACAACGCCCAGGTCAGGGAGCCTGGCTCGCACCCTCGTCTGGCTTCGCATCGCCTGACCAGAATCCACTGCGGCAGGTTGGAGGAGGCATTTGCATGTTCTTCATGTCGATCATCATCATGCTCTCGGCGTATGACGGTTCTACGCTGCCCATCCTCGAGCTGTCGGCGGTCTACTACTGCCTCTTCCGTGCTCTTTTCCTCCTCTGCTTCTTCTTCTCCTGCCATGGCACTCTCATCGCCTTCAGCACCATCCTCCAAACATCCTCCGGCACCACTCTCGCCCCCTGCACTCACATCTTTCCCGACGTGATCGTCACGCAGGGGTCAATCTGTTTCTGTGGAAGCGGTACGACATTGACTACCGGCTCATCCTTGGTGAGAAGCACTGCGAGTGTGGACCCCGCATAGTCAACTGGCACCCCAACCGCTGCTGCTTCAGGAGTCGGTCACGAGCACAACTACCACTTCATCATCCGCGCCTCGTTTCGGCACCGTAATAGAAGAACCATGCCGAGCCATAGGTCGTGCGATCGGCCCTAGGCAGCGGCGGAAGAGACAGCGCAACAACGCAGCAAACCAGCAATCGAGCACGGGAGCTGCAATCGAAGAGAGCCCAAGCCTCAACCTTAGGCGCATGCTCCTCGTTTTCGTCGGCTTCGTCCTCTATGTCCTCGCCCTTCGTTCGCCTAATTCTTTGTTCCTCCCGAACAAGCACGTGCCGCCCGCCGTCGTGCTCGCCATGACACTAGCGCTCGCCTTCTGGCCGCTCAACCTCGCGCCAGAGTGGAAGGACAAGGCGCAGCGGCTCGCCCTCTTCCGCGCGCTGGGGCGGCTCCTGCTCTCTCCGATCTTCGCCGTGCCCTTCTCCGCGACGTTCATCGCCGACGTGCTCACCTCGATGCCCAAGATCTTTGTAGACATCCTCTCAATGGGCTGCCGCTATGCAAACGGCTCCGCCTTCTCGATTCACTACTCTCCCAGCAAGGGGGCTCTCGTCGGTTTCCATGGCGACGAGTGCACTACCGCTTCGGCCTCCTTTTGGTGGGTGCACTTCCTCTTGTCGATACTCCCCTTTTGGATACGGCTGATGCAGTGCGCCGGCCCGCCTTGCACTCACGCCCGCCGGCGTCCCTTGAGTTGCCTCTGGCTCTAGGGACTAGGCATAGCACGCGATGCCCATCAATCACCGTAGGTGTGTGCGGTCGTACCTGGAGTGTGGCGAGTTGCGCTTCATCTTCAATGCGCTAAAGTACTGCACCTCCATCGCAGTGGTTGCGCTGAGCTCTTTCTCAGCACATCACTTGTTGTGGTTGGTCGTTGCCGTCGTCTCGACGATGTACGCCTTTGCATGGGACGTGCGGATGGATTGGGGACTGCGCTTGCGGCGGACAGGGCTCGACCCCATCATTGTGCCTTCGGGCGCGGCGCGGCGCTACTCAACTCGCTTCTACGCGTGCGCAGCGTGCGCAAATGCGGTGGCGCGGCTCGGGTGGGCTATCTATATCTCTCCACAGCAGCAGATTGTGCAGCAGCACATGACGCTTCTGCTGGGCTGCGTGGAGCTCCTCCGCCGGGCGCAGGCGCAGCCTTCCCTCCCGCCTTAGTTGCTCACGTCATTTTGCATTGCCCGCGCAGCGAACGCGCACCCACGCCCTGCCGCCCCGCCCACTCCTGTTGACGCCCCCACCGCTGTTGACATACACCGTTTTGCACGCGCGCAGTGGGCGGCGATCCGGCTCGAGTGGGAGCAGCACAAGAATGAGGCGCACGGAGCCAATGCCCACCCATCGAGGGTGACCGTGGTCGCGCCGCCGAATGTGTAGAAGAGTCCGAGGGATATAGGCGAGCGACGTCCGGGCACCGGCGACGCTCGAGGGACGAGGCTCATATTTGCGGTCAATTAAAAGACACATATTCGACGCACAACTGCGACGATCAGTCACACAGAGGGAACTGGCAAGCGTGAAATGCTACACGACTAGCTAGCTACCTGAAGACAAGTCTGCGCGCCATCCATTGCTCTGAGACGGGCCTCTCCGTCTGCGCGCCTTCTTTTCACGCAGCACCGCCTCGTAGACTATTGTGGTCGAATCGCCGAGCAGAGTGTCGCCTGGCACGGAGGTGACGCACGGCCGCGACAAATAACGTTCTCCACCTGGCTCGAGCGTGGCGATGTGCTCGCACGTCCCGCAGCGACCCTCCCTGCAGCCAAAGCGCACCTCGTGTCCAGCAGCATGGGCAGCGCTTGCCTCACTCATGCCTTCCACGCCGAGCACCGACTTCCCTCCCGGCCATACGAGATTGATTGACCGAGCGCTGCAGCACCGACGGAAACGCACTTCGCACGTGCGAACCCGAGTGCGTAGGGCGAGCATATCTAGCCCCCGGTCCCGTCCGTGGAACAGGACGTTCGTAGTCGACAGAGTTCTTTTTGTTCTTGAGCACTTGAGCACTGGATAGGGTCGATTCCGCATGGTACGTTTTTGTTCTCTTTTAAATTCTTTTTGTTTTGAAATTGTGTCTTTCGCACGTTTGGATTTGGACCACCAAGAACTGGCACGGGCTGCAGACAGATAGATGCAGCGGCTGTGGTCCGTCGCTCTCCATCCACACCGCACGGTGAACGAGCTAGCGTGCGGGGAGAGGGGGAGAGCGGCATTGTGCACGGAGCAAAGTGCATTGCCGTTCTTAACGGAGTCGCTTAGGCGGCTCCGGTGGTGTGCCTGTGTTAGTACCAGCACGCGCCAGTCCGTGCGCGAACACGTCGCGAAAGCTTCCTTGTGTGTGCCAGTCCGCGCCAGTCCGCGCCCTTGTCGTGCCAGTGTGCGGTACAGAAGCTTAATTTAAGAATTCTTCAGGTTTGCCGCGCTGAGTGCGGCGCCGAGGACGACGCAAAAACACAACCCATGGCCAACTTCACGCTATGAGTACCACCCTCGTCTCACAAGGGCTCTCTCCCGTGGTCTTCGACGCACAGGCCGAAATCCTTCGCACAGTGTCACGGAGGAATGCGCCACCGATGGCCTCCACTTCCGTGTGGGCTGCGTCCGCCTCTGCTGTCGCCGCCGCTGCGGGGCAGAGTGACTACAGGTCGGCGATCTCCATGGCGTTGGGCGGCGCACTGCGCTCGAGGCCGATCGACGTGACGCTCGACGAGTCCGCCCTGAACACGGTCCGCAGCGAGGTGCACGCGCGCTCGGGCGCGAGCATGCTGGAGCAGCTCGAGCGGCTCGAGCTCTTTCTGCGGCGCGAGGGGCTGTCCCACCCGAACCGGTCGCTCGTGGTCGTCTACGGAGAGCACCAGGGGTGGCCCTACTCCGCGCTCCAGCTTGTGCCAATCTTTACCGGCACAACCGGCACTGCTCGGCGACGCGAGCCAGCTTTCTGTTTCGTACACGCCGCGCCCTGTCTCCTGTAGGCTTGCCGCGCGTGCTCACCAGCCCCTCTCCGCCCTCTCCTTCCTGAGCCACGGCTGCTCTTTGCCAGGCCTGCCGACGCTGCTCGCCAACTCGTACTTGCCGCTCGCTGAGGCGCTGCAAGCAGGCGTCGCCGCCCGCCCGCCGGCAGAGGGGTCGCCTCGGCTGGTCCTGTTCGCTCCGGAGGCGCACGCGCGAGAGGCGTGCCGTGCGCTCCGCCACGCGGCGCCGCCGCTCGCCTCAGCGACGCTCGTCTCGCTCACGCGCTCTGCGCACGCGCCGCCGCCGGTCTGCCCCGGTCTGCAGCGCAGCACCACCTTGGCAGCGATCGACACGGGCGCCGAGGCGCGGCCCGGCGTGCGTGCGTCGGCGGGTGCGCCCTCGCGGAGGCATCCTCACCCGGGCGGCGCGCGGCTGGTGGCAAGGCAGGACGACACGGGGCGCGCCAAGCCCCGAGGCTGTCGCAGCGCGGAGCTGTGAGCCGAGAGGGCGAGAGAGAAGAGGGGCTGTGAGCAGGCGCGTCCAGATTGTCGAGTTTGGGGAAAGGTCGCGCAGGACAGTGATGGAGTCGCTGGGCTGCTTGGCGCCGCTGGTGGGCCTCTCCCTTCCCGGCCACCACGCCCCCCCCCCTTCACGCTGTGACGGCGCCCGGCCGCTCTGTCTCTTCTCTCAGGTGGGACTCTCTCTGCCGAGGCTCGACGCGACAACCGGCCCCGACTGAACAATGACCTCGTACCTCACTCCTAATGACTCACGAGTCAGGCTCGACGCGAGGATCGGCCCGTACTCGTCCGGCGACGCGATCGTAGACGACTGCCGCTTGCTGCAGGGGGCGCCTCTCGCCTCGTGGCCTCTCGGCTTCTCGCGCTTCGAGGCGCTGGTGCGCCGCTACCCTGCAGCGAGCATGCAGGCTGCGGCCGCACCTCTTCATCTCGGGTCATCTCGGGTCATCTCGGGTCATCTCGGCAAGCGAGCATGCAGGCGACGCCGCCGCACTTGCGCTGGCTGCGCGAAGAGTGGGCTCTCAAGGCGTCGCCCCGTAGCGCGGACTCTCTCCACGCCACGCGTCTCGGAATGAGGAGTGCAAGAGGAGGGTAAGAGGAGGGCTCTCTCGGCGCCTCGTGGCACCCACGCCATGTCTCCACATATCTCCCCCCGATCTTGCGCTGAGCTCGCGCCGAGAGGAGGACCCGGCCTTGGTAGGCGGCGCTCCATGCCCGCCGCAAGCGTGCCGGCCGTCCCTCGCCTCTCGGCGGCGCGGGCCAGCTCCGCTTCTGTGCTGTGGGGGGGGGCGCGCCGCCGGACGGCCGCCGCCTGACAGCAGCGTTGCCCCGCGGGCAGCTTGTTTTTCTTTTTGTCTTAAGGCGCGCCGTCCGACGAGGACCTGAGGCTGCTGCGCGAGGCGGCGGGGTGCGGCGACGTGCGGGAGGCGTGGGGATCGTACGAGACGCTGATGATTGCTCACGGCGTGCCGCGCTCGACCAACCGCTCGTACCGCATCGCACGCGACTCAGAGCTTGGGCCTCTTCTTCTTCTCAGGCGTGCCGCGCTCGACCAACCACTCGTACCGCATGGCAGTTGGCTCCGGGCTCGGGGTGGGGGGGCGGCTAGACGGGGAGCACACGGACTCTTGTACTCCGATTAGCGCTCGGGAGCACACGCCCTCCGCCGTGCTCACGCACCGACGCTGGTGTGTGTGTTCGCTCGCGACGTGTAGGCGGCGGAGCAGTGCTTGCTCGGAACCTTCTCGGAGCCTTCTCGGAGCCTTCCCGGAACTCTGCCGTAGGTGGCGGCGTGGACCCTACGCTCGTTCGGCCCGTATGACGCGCGTCGGGGCGTCGGCCAGCTGCTGGTTGCGCCACGGACCGTGAACCGGCATCCCCTACCGCCATGGGGCCGAACCCACACTGGATTCGAGCCTCTGGAGGTATGGTACTAGGCATCCCCTCGACGAGCGGGGCGCCAACCGCGCAGGCAGCGGAGGTCGGCTGGAGGGTGAGTGGTACGCGTTGCGCGACATCGTGGAGGTCCGTGGCGGGCATGTCGGCAGCCGCGCCGCAACGGTGACGGTGCTAGACAAGACAGCCTCTCCTCTTACGATTGGTGTTATTAGTTTGGTATGATTAGGTGACGATGCTAGACAAGACGACCTTCCCGTTTCAGCTACCGGGCGGCGAGTGGGTGGCGACGGGCCGAGTCGAGAGGGCCATGGAGGCGATCGACGTTGGCGGCGCCCGCCTGCTCGAGCTCGCCTGGCTCGCCCCCACCCCCACCGGCCGCATCGCCGCCGTCGTCTGGCCGACCAACCAGTTCGCTGAGGCGTCCGCTGGAGAGGGCGTGAACGCCCGCCCCTTCTTTCGTGCGAGGCGCGCCCCGTGATCTGTTTCCAGGCGCCCGCCGCCGAGGTGGAGCGCCACGTGCGCCGTGCGCTGCGCGGCCACCCGCGAGTGCGTTCCTGGGAGGTTCCGTCCTTCGTTCTGCTCGGAGACGAGCCGTGGGAGTACCGCCCTCGCGCAAAGGTGCGGAGCGCGCCCGGGCGAGTGGCAGGAGGAGGAGAGGAGGGCGCGAGGCAGGGCCCAGCGTCACGAGTAGGTGCGGGCGATGCTCTCCTCCCACTTTGGTCCCGCCCTCGCCGACCCCGCCTCTGGGCTGCGCGGCGCCGCGCTGCCGAACCCGGCGCTGCGGCGCCACGCCGCCCTCTCCCGAGCAGAGGAGTCCGGAGCCCAGAGATGCGTGGCTGTGAACAGGCGCTGCGGCGCCACGCCGCCCTCTCGTCGCTGCTCCGCTCCGAGCTGGCGGCAGCGCTGGAACGCGTGGCGCCCGGCACGGCGGCGGCGTCGGTCGCCCTCGCCGCCGGCCTCGCCGGGTGTGTCGACGGCGCTTGCTTGCTGCGCAACGCGGACGGCTCGCTGCGAGAGCCAGAGCTGCGGCACAATCCTTACGACCCGCGGGCGCCGCTTGCGTCGCGGCTGGGAAGGCGCGACGACGAGAGAGATGCTCTATATATTTGGTAGTAGCACTGATCGGAATGTTCACAATGGTGCGGCTGCGCAGGTGCGACGACGAGCCGTGGCATCTGTGGGACCTCGCGGAGAAGCGTGGCGGCAGCGGCCCTTCCCCGGCCGCACTCCTCCGCCCGCTAAAGGGCCTGTGCGCCGACGCTCACGCGCTCGAGCGGCTGCGGGGCGTGCTCCCGCCCGTGCTGCCCTCGCTGGGCATCCTGCACAAGCTTGGGGTCCGCTTCCGATTGCGGCTGCACTGCGCGTGCGCGCTGGCCAACCAGGGCGCGCCCGTCGCCTTCCGTGCGGAGGCGACTTCGGCAACGGTGCAGGAGGAGGTGCTCCGCGTGTGCCGGCCCGAGTGGGTCAATTAACCGTTGCAGGGCGAGATTCGTGTGTGCCGAGGGGAAAGAAAGAAAGAAAAAACAGTAACGAAAGGATTAAAAAGAAAATACATCCGAGCAACCGCCGCCTTTTAATTAATTGAAGGCCCCTTTGATTTGCCGGGCAAGCCCCAAGCGGTGCCGTGGCGAACCGCCGCGCCTTGGTTTTGATTTATGGGGCTCAAGAAATACGTAGTAGTACTAGCTAGTAGAAAAGAAACCGGGGTGTGCCTCGACCGGGGTTTAAGACCCATACCCTCAAGGGATGGGACGCACCCACGCCACCTCGGCGCAGCGTGTGCATGTCAAACCCGCGGCCGCTCGCGGGTTCCAGTGAGACCAGCTCGAAGCCGTGCTCCTTCATGATGGTGAACGCCCTCTCCACATCGTCGAAGCCGTAGCAGCAGCGCTGTTGCGCCTCCCGATGTCAAACATGAGGTGCCGCACCAGCGAGAGTGCTGTGTCGCGCCTCGCAGCAATAAGGTGGTCGCGCACAGAGTCCACCACTCCATCATCCACCCGTTGTGCTCCACGCCCCACCCTTGGCCCAAAAACATGATCTTCTGCTCAGGCAGCGCGGTCAGGTCGAAGCGGCTGACGGAGCACAGGTAGAGGTCTGGGCGTGTGAGGAATCGAGTGAGGAAGAGGAACGCATACTGCAGGTGTCGAGAGCGTTCGTGCTGTGTAACCAGGCTCACGCAGCGAGTCATCTTCTGCAGCCGCATCCAGCTGCCGTGCGTCTTCCGATGCTGCACCAACTTTTGATGGCAGTTGTCGTTATCGGTGTGAAAGGTATGTATTTCGCTTTCTTGCTCTGTGCTATTTATCGATGACCATGCGGCCAGCCGGCCCGGGACGCACAGCCCTGGCGTCTCGGCGGTTCCGTCGTTCCCGTCGAGAGAAGCCCAGAGCTGACCAAAAACCAGTCGCCACTATAGGCGCTTGCTTCGCATCGAGTCGAAGACGGCGGGCGCGAGCGAGGCACGGCGTAGCTCGCCGCAAGCGCAGTACGCGACGGAGGAGTTTGCTGCCGGGCTGAAGCTGCGCAGCCTGAGCCAGCTGTACTGGTGCCGCAAGCGTGAGCAGCGCCCGGGAGGGGACTCTCTTCTCCATGTCTGTCGCGGCTCGGAAGAAAGCGTGAGGTGTTTTTGAGACGCCGTCGAACAAACACGAACGCCCTTGCCTCTTCAGCAGTCGCAGTCCCGGCGGCCTGTTCACAGAAAAACACAGCCCCGGACCCAAGACGCACAAGCACAGACAGCGTAAGAGAGACACTTCACAGCTGCAGCCGTGAAGAAACCCCGTTCACACCTCGGCGCAACGACAGCCTGTGTAGAGGTGTCGAGGCCGCGGCCCCTTTGCCCGGGCCCCGGGCCCCTGCCTCCCCTCGCCGCCTCTCGCGTGCCCGCCGTTGCCGCCGCGCGGCCGGCGCCGAAACCTTGTCATCAGTGAAATACGGGTCCCGCAACGGTCACGCCCGCCGGTCGCCCCGCCAGGTCACAAAAGACAATGTCCGGCATCCCGTCGCCGGACCTCGTGGGGCTGGGCCCCCTCAAGGCGCGCAAGGTCCCCTCGGGTAGCCAGCCTCTGAAAGCCCCTCAGACACGTCCCGCCCGATGGCGGTTTTGCGCAGGCGCTCAAGGGTGAGGGCCCGATCGTGGCAGCTGGCACGCTTGGCATTTGCGTGGTTGGACTCGTTGTTGGCCAAGTCTGGTTTGCCTCAAGTGCGTGCGGCCCTCCATGGCTGCCCCCCCCCCCCCCCCTTTAAACACGCACCACCCCACCTCAAGGGCCCGCGCGCCCGGATCGCACAGTCGCGCACAAAAAGCCGTCGACGATGACGCCCCAGTGGGCGGCTGCCACCGAGCGGTATCGCGCGATGCAGGTGGCCCCCCTTGCCCTTACACCGCCCCTCGCCGCCCCGCCCCGCCCTCACCTCGGGCGGGTCGCCTCCGCCGTCTCGCCCGCACCGCTCCCCACCCCCCCACCCCCCCACCCACCCACCCCACACACACCCCTCCGCAAAACCGCCTCCCATGCATCGCCACTACCGCGTCGCTGACCTCCTCCGACCCCCTCGCTGCCGCAGCTTCAAGACCCCATCCACGGCGGGGCGGCCTGAGAAGTGGTGAATGCCCTCTCGGCTTCCTTTTTGTGCGCGTTGCTGTGTGGGTGCGCGCCGCAGGCCCGTGGACCAGGCCGACTCTACCCGAGTGCCGCGAGCGCCTTGCTTGCTTCACTTCCGTCTCTCTATGTTGCGCTGTGTTCGGCGGCCGCTGGCCGCTGCCTCCCTCACGCCTCAGCCTGCCAAAATGTAAATGGTCTGAGAGAGAGTGAGAGCGAGTTGCGTTGTTTGTTGTTAGACATAGCGAATAGCGAGTCATGCTCATGGTCTCCTGGCTCCTGCAGAAAAAAGCGTGGTAGAAAAGAAAACGTGCGGCTGTGACTGCGACAAGTGACCATCCGTTTTTTAACACAGCAGAAAGAAAAGATTAAAGAACCGCGGGCTGCGCCTGCGGGGGTGCGGCCTGTGCGGGCTGACGCCTGACCCTCAACCGTGTCCGCAGTGCGTTCCACAGAGCACAGTTCCTTGTTGTCGTCCTCGCCGGAGCCCTCTGTCAGCCGGGGCTCGAAGTCCTACTGTGTGAATTCGCGGAGCGAAGAAAATTTTATACGGAATACGTCCATTTTTGGAGCTTGGAATACGGCGTATTCCATGGAATACGTGGAATACGGGTGGAATACGGCAGAATACAGGCCTCTGGGACGTCATTTGGAATACGTGGAATACGTATTCACACAGTAGGCTCGAAGTGGACGCGCACGAGGTCAAAATCTGTGGCGGCGAGAAGCTCGTCGTCGTCGAGGGAGCGCAGGTGAGCAAGGATGACAGACGTCGTCGTCGCCGGCTGCTTCTTCGCGTTGAGCACGGGGGTGACCTTGTTGGGGCCGACCGTGTCGAAGCTGAGCCCTGGTCCGACAGCCTGACAGCAAACCCCACAGACAGCGCCTGACAGCGCCCGACAGCCTGACAGCGTTGACAGCACTTTCTCTGACAGCCTGACAGCACGTATCTGACAGCCTGACAGCACGTATCTGACAGCCTGACAGCAGAGCCTGACATCAGAGGTGACCCGTCGCTGTCAGGCCCTAACGTGACAGCCTGACAGCTGCCCGACAGCCCGACAGCACACAGTGGCCTGACAGCAGCGCTGACAGCCCGACAGCCCGACCAGCCCGACAGCAGCACAGACCGTACACAGGCTGTGCAGCCTCTTTCTTGTGCCCCATGAGGGAATAACAAAACTATTACATTTTTAGCAATACCAAACAACTCTAACACTCACACGTAACTTGGGGCCTGGAGCCCTGTTCACGCGCGCGCGAGACGTGCAGACAGGGTTGCCAGGTGAGAGCGAATGGCGCGGTTCACGCCTCGCACAACAGAGAGAGAGATGCGCTCTGCATGGTGTTTGTTTTGTTTTGCTATTACATGCAAAGACATGTGAGTGTGGTCCATCTAGTCATGGCTCATGGGATGGTCATGGGTCTCTCTCTCAACCCTCCCGCCCCACCTCTGCGGACCCGCGGCTGTGCTACTACAAATGAAGCTACCAGCTAGCCTTCTGGGTCCCTATACAGATCAGTCATATGCCACGGCGTCTGGGTGGGGGTGGCGACCGCCGTCAAAACCGCCGCCGACGACTGCGCCTGCGCCGCCATCTGCGCTCCCCCCAGGCGGCCGCCGCCGCCGCCGGCTAGACGCGCGCCGCGCCACTGGCAGCTCGAGCGCAGAGTCTTCCCCCACCCTCCCCCCACCATCGCCCATGTCAGCGCAGCCGGCCCGCCGCCGCCGCCGCGTCGCCAGTGCCTGCCTCCACCACTCGAGCCGACTCCATTTGCACCGCCGTCGCCCTGGCCGCCGCTGCCCTCGCCGCCGCCGCCTCGCGCCGCCGTCCTCGCCGCCGCCCCCTTGGTCGCCGCCCGCGTAGTCGCCGCCCTCGACCTCGCCAGCCGCCGCAGCTGTCGCTCACTTTCGCTTTCGGACTTTGTCTTCCCCCTCCCCTCCTCTTCAGACCCCGCCCCATCACATGCCACCTAGCCTCAGGAATCTGTAGCTTGAATCCCTTCACCGCCCCTTCCGATGCCCGGCGTGTCACAGGCTCCACAAGTTCTCAACATGAAGGTCTGGTGGCTCGCCCCACTCATGCTCTCCGTCGCGTCGGGTTTCGACAAGGAGGGTTTGGTCGCCAAGACGGGGATCGCTGACGTCGCGGGCACGCGACGCTTTCTGTTCGCGACTGAGCCGACGCCCGACCCGACGCCCAACCCGACGCCCAACGCGACGGTTTGCGTATCCAAGTCGTCACCACCGGGCTGTACGTATCTCACACCGAACTGTACCGATGAGTATCTTGCATCGCTGGTCACCCTCCGTTGCTCGGCAAGGTACTGCAACTGCCTTTGCGTCACCAGGTCGTTTCCGCTCAACCCCATCTCCACCTGCAACACTCAGGTCAGTGGACTCATCCCGTTCCCGATCCCTCACTGGTGATTCACGCCCCCAGCTTCCCCTCGGCCTCGCGAACAGGCGGAAGTCGAGGCCATAGTTGCAGACCTGGGTGCAGACCTCTCGACCACCCTCGGCGTCCCCCCGATGACCTATGACCAAGTCTGCGATGCCTTTGAAGCTGGCCAGCTTTCGGTAGCTGGCCTCACTACCTGCAAGGATATCGAGGGCCTTATCAAGCAAGAAGACAAGGTCCCAGCTGGCATGTGTTTTCCTCCAGGCTTCGGGACCGAAGAGGCCATTTGCGTTGAACACAACGCAACGCGGCGTTGAAGACGGACGATTGCGCAGCCGTCGCTAGTCGCTAGCAGCTCCCATAGTTCATGGAAGGAGGCGCCGAGGAAACCCTCGGCTCCACATTCCTTGGGACTGTGAGCCACCTTCCTTGTTTGGACGTTCCTTGTTTGTGTTGGCAGTCTGTTGCTGTGTCAGTACTGGTCCCTCGAGACCGGGAGTGAGAGCGACATTCCCGACATAGCTCTGCAATCGGCGAGGCAGCCTCGGAGCGCTGCTCAATAGATTCGGAGCGGCGGCGGTAGTCCACGCTAACTAAGGCCCTCACAGAGAGCGGCCGAGTCGCGAGTGGGATTCACCGCAAAGGGCTGCGTTTGCGGTGCGCATCCTCGGGCGGAGCATCCCCGGGTGGAGCGTCCTCGGGCGGGTCCTCGGGCGGGGCAGGCTCGGGTGGGAGAGGCACGGGGAGGCGACACAGCTTGGGCAGCTCGGCCGTGGGCGGCTCGGTCGTCGACGGCTCAACCCGCACTGTGGCGCGTTGCACGGTGCCTCCGGGCGGGCCCCCGCCTCCCCCCAGAGGCCAGAAAAGAAGAAAAGCTGAAAGCAATGGCCAAGCGATCTCAAAGCGTCGAAAGAAGAAAATAGTATGCGGTTTTATTGGGCTGCCTCTCCGCTCTGCTCAACCCTGAATGGGAGCAGGGGGGGGAGAGGCATCGCGTGCGTGACGGCTGACGCGTGCTCGCGTGCCCTCTTACGTGGTGTAGCTCTCGATGTCCGTGAAAGCGTCGGCGTCGGCGCCCGCCGGCACGAACTCTGTCGGGTCGGCGTCGCCGAGGGCAAGAAACTCCTCCCAGCTCACCACCTCGCCCCTCTCGTCCACCAGCTCGACGGCGGCGTGAGGCAGCGCCGCGCGCTCGAGCGAGCCGTTCGCGAACCGGATCACGAAGGGCGTGAGGCTGTCCGCTCGCCAGTCGACCACCTAGGTCAAGGTCAGGCACGGTCCACTTCTCTCCACACACACGGTCGTGGGGGACGGGGGCGCAAGGGCCAGGCGGCCCTCGCGACTCCACACACGGGTGTCCACAAGCACAGGCCGCCCCACGGCAAAAGGTGCGGCCCAGTGCGCGCACCTCGCCCGAAATGAGGCGCCCGGTGGTGTACTGCGCCGCCTGCACCCGCCACCCGACGACCCGCTCCTGCCAGCACGACGGCTGCAGCGCGAACGCAAAGTTGCCCGAAGACGGCGGCGGCGTCTGCGGCTCCCCGTCCGCGTCCGCCTCCTCCTCGTCGCCCGTCGCCCTCCGAGGAAACAAGCGCTGTCTCTTCGAGCCCGCCGCTGCCGCCGCCGCGTCCTCGGGCGTGAAGGCCGCGCTCGGTGAACCGCCTAACATTTGGACTGGAGGGCTGCGGCCGCCTCTCGCGGCGGCTGGTCGCGCCGTGCGGGCAGCGCCGCTGCGCCCACCGAGAGCTGCAAAGGGGTGCGCCGACGCGGGGGAGGCGGCGGCCACGGAGGAGGCGGCGAGGTCGGCGCTGGCGACCGAGGCGGGGGCGAGCCCGAGGCACATGTGCCCGCTCGAGTCCATCCCAAGAGCCTCGCAGATGGTGGAGGCCTAATGACGGCCGGCCGTCGATTGTAGAGGCACGAGGGGCGTGGGTTGAGCTAGAGAGCCTCTGGCGATGGACGCCACACCGCGACCCGACTCGACAGGCTCCATGCTGGATACGCCCGACCGCAGGGCCGGGAAGGCGGTGGTGTTGTGCAGAGGGACTCAGAGCTCGCGTCCGTGTGAATACGAGCGACAGGAGCTGCTCTGGGAGTACAGCTGAATGCGGTCGAGCACCGCTGAATGAGTGTCCTCTCGAGCGCTGGCTGGAAGCCAAGAACGCCGTGTTCCGCTTCTAGGGGAGGAGGGGCCTCGGCTGAGGCGGCGGCCGTGGCGGCATCCCACCGCGAACACGACTCCCGTCCACTCTCGGCACACCTCGCCCAGCGCTCCGCCGCCAAGACCTCTGCGCCGCCGCCCTCGTCCACGTAGTTCCTGTAGCCGCCCCGTCGCCGCGGCGGCCCGCGTGCGCGCTCAGGCAGCACGACGCGCGGGGCGGAGAGAGAGGTGCCGTCCTACGCGGTGTGGAGACGCCACCGTCGAAGGGGCGTGAAAGAACACGGGGCAACGTGCCGCGGGTTGTCGGAGCACCGCGTCAGTGCCGTGAGGGCTACGAGTGTACCGCATGAGCTGGTCGTGGAGACAGCCTGCTACTACTACCACTCCGTGCGCATTCCGCCATCTACCGGTGCCGTCTGCCGGCTCGCCGGAGTAGCAGACGCGCGGCCCAGTGGGACCGCTCTGCACGCGGACTTGGCCGAGCAGCGCAGCGCGGCACATCTCTTCCCGGAGCGCGCCCGCCTGGGAGTCAGGCAAAGGTGGGGGGTGAGGTGAACGTCTCCACACACACACACACACACACACACACACACACACACACACACACACACACACACAAGGTGGAGGGGCGAGGGCCACGCAGGCTAGCCCTCGCGCCTCCACGTCTAGAATGGCAGGAGCCCCGCGGCGTTCAAAGATAGTGCGAGGCGCGGCGCGCGCGTCCCACTACGGCGGCACGGCGCCCGCGGTGTCATCTCATGGTGTGCTAGCAGAGTAGCTGGCTCGCGCCTGGGAGTCGCTCGGAGGGCCGCTGAGGGGGCGAGCCAGGAGCTGCGCCACCTGTGGGCAGCCAGCGCTTGTGGAGTTATGCTGGCCTACTCCTACTACTACCTGGGCAGGGCGAGCAGCGGAGAAAGGCTCCCCCCCCCCGCCCCCCCCCTCTCTGTGGGCGCTCTGCACGCGGGGGTGGGGGCTTGGGGTGGGAGGGGACCCGCACCTCTGGCAGGGCCAGCTGCATCGGGATCATCAGCGTGTGCCCCGGCTCCGCGCCGTGTTGGTCGTCAAGAGGCAGCAGGATCGTGAGCGGCTGCTCCGCGGGGCCGCATGCTGAGTAGCCACCCCGCGGCGCAAATGGATGAGATTCGGACACCACACCCGCCGCCGCCGCCGCCGCGCCGCCCGAAAGCGCCTCAGCGTCTACTTCCACCGCCGTCGGTGCAGCCACCGCCGCCGGTGCGGGAGAATCCGCCGGCAGCGCGGCATTCGCCTCGATCTCGACGCTGGCGTGCGCGTCCACAACCGGGTTTGAGTGCAGAGCGCACAGCTGTCCCGGCCCAGCGCGCGCGGCCTTCGCGCAGCCCGGTTGTGTGCACCGCTTCCCGCCGCCGTGCGCCGCGCAGAGCAGAGCGCCCGAGTGTCTGTCGGCAGGCCGTGCCATTTTGAGGCACCCGGTGATGGAGCAGCGCTTGCCGCCGCCGTGCAGGCCGCAGAATGGGAGGCCGCCGGTTGCAACCGATCGCCCGCAGGCCCTAGGGGTGTCCCCGTCTGACACAAACGTGCATCTCCGCCCCCCTCCATGCAGCTTGCAACACGGGGTGCCGCCGGCACGCCGCGCCCGCGTGCACCCCTCCACCGTGCACAGCTTCTGGCCGGGGGCAGCAGTAGTCACAGGCAGGGGTGCCGCCGCGGCGCGGTGGTCGCTCAGGTTTTCAGCCAGGCGGGCGAGCGCCGCCACGTCCATCGCTAACCTAAGGAGTCGATAGACACCTGCGCTTTCGTTCTCGGCGAGGCGGTGGCGCGGTACGCGGAGGCGAGCGAGGCGGAGCGGGAGGGAGGCGCGCACCTGCTGCCGCTGCGCTGCCTCTCCTCCCCGCGCTCCTGCCAGGCGGCGACCAGCGACGCGGCGCTGCACACGTCGCTGCAGGCGGCGTGACGTGCCGGCACAGATGTGTCGTCTCGACGAAGGAGGCGCTGTCTGGCTGCTGCCTGGTCAAAAAAAACATGAGACCGGAGTCGTCCGACTAGATCTATAGAGATCTCTCGGAATTTTGGGCGTCACGTTGATTCGTCTCAGTCTCACGTGAATTCGTCCCTGTCTCACTCTCAGCGTCTCAGCGTATCTCAATAGATCCATCACTCCGTCTCACTTCCGTCTCACTGCAGTCTCTTATTACTGCCTTCTCGTCCGTCTCAGCGCGGCAGGCTCCTATAGGGCAGCCTGCGTCATGGCTGCTGCAGGTGTCTTGACCGGAGGCTCTGTCTTGCGGATCACCTTGAGGTAGGATAGGGCGGCCAATCCGAGAACAACGAGAACCAACAACGCAGGTGCGATGATCACAACCAACATTACCATGCCGTCCTTTCCTCCGGTGTCTTCGCCCAATGACGGAGCAGACGGGTCGGGGGTCGGAAAGGGGTTACATTGGCGGCGAAGGCCAGAGCACTGTATTGTCCCCGCCGCCGCCGTTGCCGCCGCCGAGCCCACCTCCTCGTCGGCTCGCGCAGTCAGCAGGCGGCGCGGGGTGAGCATCGCCTCGCACGGCATGACCAGAGAGAGCAGGAGCATCTTTGCGATCATCGCCGTGCGCTGGTGGTTGGCGGTGCTGACGCCGATGGCTCGAAGGACCCTGCGCCGAGAAAGCGTGAGTCGTGGATCGCGTGCGGGGTGGAGAGCGCGTGAAGGGAGAGCAGCGGGGTGGCGCGGTGTCGGCGCTTGTGGCCCTGGCGTATATCGCAAGGGCTTTGGCGCACGGAGGAGAGAGCACGTGGTGGAGAGAGCATGGTAGAGAGGGCGCAGCTGCGAGGCCCGCCCCAGCACATCGCAATCTCTCTGCATACCGCAAAACGTCCCCTGGTCGCAGAACACACGCAAAGCCAGAGCGGGGGCGGACACCGTTCGTCGAGTGGTACCGTCTGAGACGGCCCTCAGGCGGTACCGAGCGCGGGAGCCAAATGCACGGCCTCTCCGAGGTCTCGACCTCACAGACTCTGCGTGCGCCGATGCCGCGCGATGCCAGAGCTTCCTGCGGCGGCGCCCGACTGCTCGAGAAGCGGCTCAAAGGAAGGGGCCGTGCGGCGCACCCTCCGGCGAGTGGCGAACGGCCGCATGGCGATCCGCCCGTTGAGCCGCTTCCATTGAGCCGGCGACCCAAATGCAGCCCCCCTGTTGCTCTCGGACTGCAGCTGGCTGGTGCCGCCCCGCCTTCCCGATGCTCCGCTGCCGCCCGCACAGGGGCTCACTCGCTGTCGTCGTCGTTGACGAAGCCACCCTCGGAGGCGGCGCTTCCCTTCTGCCGCTTCGCAGGCGGCTGTGCCGCCGCCTCGCCCTCCGTCACGGTGTTGGTCGGGTCCTGTTCACGGTCGAGCTGTGAGGTGACGCGGCGCACGGGCTCGGGAGCTATCGGCCGGGTTCTCGGCGGCGACAGGGCGACTTGGCGAGGCGCGGTGACCTCGGGTATCTCGGGTGACCTCGCCTTGCGCAGCGCGGCCAGCACCGCCGCGCGCTGCGAGCCCGGAAAGCACCAGCCGCCGAGGCCCTTGTTCCAGCTTCCCTTGAGCGCCTTGAGCAGCTCCGTGACCTTCTGCGTCTCGCCCGTCACGAGGACGGCCTTCTTGTGCGGCGAGACCGTGAGCACTGCGCCAGCGGCAGCGGAGCAGGAGGCCTCGACTACGGCAGTGGTCGCTGCCGCAGCGGCCTCGGCGCCGGTGCCGGGGGCCTCGGCGCTATGCGCGATGCCCGCCTTGTCGAGCACCGCGGCAACGAGACGGGCAGGGGTTTGCCCAGAACGGCGTCCCGCAATCTGATCCTTGCTCTACAAGCAGCGGCCTGCTCCCGCTGCCGGCGCCGCCGGCGCCGTACCTCCTCGTCGTCGCTCGTGGCTGTGTGTATGTACGTCGCTCTGCGCGCGATACACACCGAGCCTTCTCTCGGGGGAGACGGACGGAAGGACGTAAATAAAGCCTCGTGTACTTTTAGCTTATTCTCTCTCTCTCTCTCTCGTGTAGGCGCCGAGATGGGCACTTCCCAAACTTCGCGAGAGGCGTAGCGGACGCTGGGCAGTGGTGTGTTCGTCGGCGTGCGGCGAGGGCGGCGACGCTGGTGGCCCGCTGCAAGGGCTTCGGCGCGCTGTGGCAGAGCGTGGTGGAGTGCGAGTACGCTTGGGGAGAGGGCGGTGCAGAGAGCCGCGCGAGGGGCACGCAGTAGGGCAGGGAGGCGGGCGGGACGCCGAAAGGCAGACGCATTTGAGTAAGGTGACACGCCACAGGCTGCGATGGCGTCTCGATTTTGCGATTTGAAGAAAAAACGTACAAGAGAGCCCCTGTGCCCTGACTATAGTCGAGCGCGTCGGAGAGGTGTTTCGGCACCGAGTGTTTGCCCAGCCCTCGGGGGGGGCGCGGAAAAGAGGAACCTAAATCAACCACCAGAACCCGGAGGAGCGAGGACGTTCAGGTGATCGTGCGTCCACATTTTTGCGCTGCGGTGGCCCAGGACCCGCAGGCGAGGCTGTCAGCCACACTCCAAGCTCCACGATTGGTCGGTAGCATGCTCAAGTGCTGCGCCTGCTTCGCCGCCAAGAATCACCCATCGCGGCAGGGCTCCCGCGACGAAACGGCCGAGCGACACAGCCTGACTGCAATGCCGCGGTGGCTGCGCATGAGCCTCCCTCCCCTTCGAACGCAACCAGAGACTATGCACAGGCCTTCTGATCACTGCGCAGCTGGTGAGCCGATCCTCGTCCGTGTGTAGGCATGACCCCGTCTCGTCCAGCACGTCGGCACTGCCCGTCTCGCCCTCGAAAGCTGGCCACGCTGCAAAGCCCTGCCAGGACCGCGGCATCGTGCACTGGCCTTTCAACGGGTCGGAGAATGAGGCGCTGCTGTGCGTCTTTGACGGCCACGGCAAGAACGGCGAGCGGGTTGCCGACCTTGTCATGAATGAACTCCCTAGTCTGCTGCAGGAGCGGGCAGCGGAGCTGCGGGCCGAGCCTAAGAAGACGCTCATCACTGCGGTGGAGCAGATCGACTCTCTGGTGCTCGCCCGCGATGGCGGAGAGTTTGCGAAAGAGTGCGGCACCACCTCGACGGTGCTCTACATCAACGGGTGCACGATCTGGTCAGCGTGCTCCGGAGACTCGCGGGCTGTCATGGGCTCCACAAAGGGTGGTGCCATCGTCGCGCGAGACCTCTCAGTCGACTGCAAGCCAGACATGGACGGTGCGCGCCATGCTACCCCGCCTAGCCTCGAGCAATCACAGCAGGAGTTTCGACGCGTGCCAGGTGAGAGGGAGCGGCTGGAGGCTGCTGGAGGCATGGTCCTCTCTGGCACGCGGGGCAGAACCTCGCGCGTGTTCACGGCGGGGGGCATCGGCCTCGCCATGTCTCGCTCCATCGGCGATCCCGAGGTGTGTCGGCCACCACCCTCGATGTGTCCAACCGGAAGCCAACACGCCCTCTTCCCCTACTCAGGCGAAGATGGCCGGTGTGATCGCCACTCCGCTCGTCCATCGCTTTGACATCAACGCTGCGGACCCGGAGGACCCCGAGGCGGACGGCGACCGCTTCGTCATCCTCGCGAGCGACGGCGTGTGGGAGTTTATCGACTCGGAGGCGGCGTGCGGCATCGTCGCAGCACACGGCCGATCGAATCGTGGCGCGCGGTGGACAGCTGGGGCGTGCGAGGCGCTAGTGCTGGAGGCGGCGCAGCGTTGGAAGCGCGAGACCAGCACCTACCGCGACGACATAACTGCGATCGTGGCGCGCCTTCCCGCCATGGAGACGGGCGGGGAGAGGCGGAGGGGCTGGGCGCGGGTGCGCTTCCAACTGTTTAAGCGGCAAGAGGACGCACAAATGCTCGACGTGGCTCTGTGCCACCGGCGAGGATTCAAGAAGGTGCCGCCACACCGGAGGCCGAGGCCGCGGTCGGCTCGGTAAGGTCGCGCGCTTCATGGTTTCACATGGCCCTATTTCCGCATATCCGACATCGCAATTAAAATCCCTCTGTGGTGGCGGCGTGCCGTGCCTGGGCATGTTTTTCTTCATCTCTTCAGGGCCTGGCCGCCGGGCAGCTGGCGCCGGGCCTCTCTCGACGCCGTGAGGGCGCGCGCAGCTTCCGGAGATGCTGCAGGAAATGTTGCGGCGCATGTATGACGTCGCTCCCTCGGCCAGCATAAAGGATGCGGCTACGTCCGACAGCTCGAACTGCTCGCTTCCCGGCCGTTGGCGTGACGTGGACGCGCGGCTCATCACCGTAAAGGGCGAGCGGCACACTGGAACGAACTTTATCGAGGGCATCCTTCTGCACCACTTTCCTCGGAGAGTCCGCCGCCGCCGCGGCGTGCACCTGTTCGCCGGCTGCGACGTGTCGTCGCAGCAGCTCGACGATAAAGGCCTGGATCGGTCCTGGTGCTGCTCCAAGCACGGACTTCCGGCGGTGTGCGTCTTCGCGCCTCCGCCCGTGTACGTCATCACGCTGAAGCTCCCATTCGCTTGGCTCGTCTCCATCCACGCGCATCCGTACACCGGCTGCGGGGTCAACAGATCCTTCTCGGCCTTCCTGCGCCAGCCCTTTGCGGCCTATGGGATGTGCAGGCCGTTCCGCGTCCGAGAGACGCCGGTGGACGTATGGAGCGAGTACTCCCTCGCAGCGCAGCGGATGGCAGGCCCTGGATCGCCTACCCCGGCGGTGCTGTGGCGTGACACCGACTACCTGAGCGAGCGGCGCCTGCGTTGCAAGCTCGAGGAGCTCGCGGCGCGCATGGGCCTCTCCATCGGCGGCGCGACGCTCCCGCGTACGCTCGCGGTGAGCATGTCGGGCTACGGCAGGACGGTGAAGTGGACTCCGAAGGCTTATTACGAGCAGGGCGAGAAGCTGCGGCGCACACCGTGGCGGGGGCGCTACTCGGACGCGGACCTCGCCTGGGTGAACGGGCGCCTCACCGATGAGGCGATGAGCGGCTTCGACCGCCCTGGAGATGAGCATAGGCTAAGTACTAGGACGGTCAAACTCTAACGAGATGGATAGGGGGACCCATGAGTCCCGCACGATTTTTTGGGGTGTGTGAGGGCGACTTTTCCATTCGTGTGTCCTCTCAAAAGACAAAACCAGGACCCAAAACACAGTTACACACACACCACACAGACACACACCGCACAAAACTCTCAAAACCACAACGAAAGAGACACCACGTCACGACCCGCTCTTCAAAGTCTCAACCGCTCAACCCGCCGAAGTGCGGGCTGACGGCCCGTCAGCCGTCTCTCGCGGTCACAGCTCACACAACTTTGATAAACAGCTCATTATAGTTACATAATATCAAGATTCAAGTTTTGCTGGAAGGAACTGCGTTGCGACTCCACCTTGTTCTGTTGCGCGATGCCCGCCGTGGAGGAGTGCAGCACACGTGCACGCGTGGCATGCATCGCGCCGCCGAAGAATGGGCACCGAGCGATCGCACGTCTTGTCGGCGAGGGTGTCGGACAACATTGGTCGGTGGTGCGACGGGCGAGGCTGCGACGCATTCGCTCAGGGGCAGCACACGGCCTTCTGCCACGAGCTGCCGTGCGACCCGCGTCTCTTGCCGCGTGTCGTGCACCTTGCCCGCAGCGCCCTTGCCGTCGGCATAGTAATGGCCACTTTTGCCGTCCCCACCGGAAAAGAAGTCGAAGCCGTGGATGTGCACCACGCGGAAGTGGCGCAAAAGGTGCGCCAGCACGAGCAGGCCCGAGCTTGGCCTAGAAGTCACGCCGTGGCGGGCGTGCAGCTCGGCTGCCACTCCGCGCTCGGTGAAGTTGACACGATGCCGCATCGCGGGCGGCACTCGAGAGAGCGTCTCCCTGCGAACGATCGGATACGTGCAGTTTCGGTACGTCCGCTGTGGAACGGCGACGAGCACAGGGATCTGGTGACGCTCGTGGTACGTTTCGAGAAGCGTGGGCGCCATGTTGCCAGACATTGCCCAGAGCGTCAGTCGACCGCCCACGTACGGCTCAAAGCCGAGGGACTGGAACTCGTTGAAGCGCACGACGTTTGGAAAGTGATCGATATGCGCACCAAGACGATGTGCCAGCGCCGAGGGACCGTTGCCGATGAGAATGACCTCGCGCGGTGCAGTGCAGGCTGACGGTCGAGCCATTTTGTGCACGACTGTTGCACAAGCGGCCTGGGCAGGAAGCCGCGATCGTGGTTGGGGAAATTCTTTTTCACAGATTTCTTTAAATTATTTTTCGTTCGAGTCCAGGCGTGAGATGCTAAAATTCTTTTTCGTCTCTGCCGTTATCAGCAATCGCTCCTCACATGACGAGCGACTCCTCCTCCTCCTCCTCCAGCGGCTCCTCCAGCGGCTCCGGCAGCGACAGCGACAGCGACGACTCCGGCAGCTCCAGCGACTCCAGCTCCGGCTCCAGCTCCGGATCGTCCTCCGGCTCGGGGTCCAGCCGCGCTCCGTCCGAGCCCAAGCGGCGGCCGCAGCCGCGCCACGCACCCTCGGGCTCGGACTCCGACACAACCGTGATTGACCTGCGGCTCGTGGCGAGCCGCGACGGCCTCACTCTGCGACAGCGTCGCACAACGTCGCGTGCACCCACAGCCGGCAGCGATGGTGGCGGCGGCGGCTCGGACTCTGAAGAGCGCAGGCTGCGGCGCGAGCGTGAACGCCGTCGGCGCGCCGCGCGTGCTGAGCGGGAGGAGGAAGAGCGGCGACTCGCGGCCGAGCGCGACGCCGAGGCGCGCGAGGCGCGGCGGCGCGAGGCGCGGCGGAAGCACGAGGCGGAGGTCGAGGCGGAAGAGGAGGCAGAGGCGGAGCTGAGGGCCCAGATCGCCGCGCGCGACGCGGCTGCGCGCGCCACTCGTGCCGCCGAGGAGGCGGAGGCGCGTGAGGCGGCGGCCGCGGCGCGCGAGCGGCGCGAGCGGCGCGAGGCGCACCTGCAGCGCGCCTCTGCCCTCCGGCGGGAGCTGCAGCAGCTTGGCGGTGCCGCCGCCGCCGCCTCTGCCGCGGGCGCAGCCGACGGCGCGACTGGTGCGCGGTTGAGGGAGGTGGAGGCGCAGCTGCTCCGGGCCGCCTCGGGCGCGGCCGACGCGGCGGACGGCGGGCGCGTGGCGGAGGCCGACGCTCTGCGCCTCGAGGCCGAGGGGCTGCGAGCGGCTGCGGCGCAGCTCGCGGCGACGCACGAGGCGGCGCAGCAGCGCGGGCGGGAGGAGGGGCGGGCGGAGCTGCGGGCGGTGCGGGAGGAGGTGGAGGCGCTGCGGGAGGAGCGGCGGCGGGACGAGGCGCGCCGCCTCGACGAAGCGAAGGCCGCCGCGGAGGCTGCGTGAGGGCTGAACGCACACACACACTGGGTTCGATCCTCTGGAGGTATGGGACTAGGCGCTTCACGCCGACGCGGAGGCTCGCGCGCGTGCGGCAGAGGCGCAGGTGGCGGCGCTGCGTGAGGAGGTTGCCCGCGCCGCCGCCGCTCCTCCGCCGGCGCACGGCGCGCCGCCGGCGCACGGCGCCGCGGCCAGCGAGGAGGCGACGCGCGCAACACACACACACACACACACACACACACACACACACACACACACACACACACACACACGCTCACCCACGCGCACCGGGCCTTGCACTTTGAATGCCGTGGGGCTCCTGTCGTCTAGACGTGGAGACGCGAGCGCTGCCCTGGCCCTTGCCCCACCACCTCGTGTGTGTGGAGAAGTTTACCTGACCTGACCTGACCTTAGGAGGCGACGGAGGGTGCCGCGCAGAGCGCTCTTCGCGACGAGCTCACTTCGGCGGTCGCGGCGCTACGCGCGGCGCGGGATACGCACGACTCGTTTGCGGCCGCAGTCGCGCAGGCGCAGCAGCTCTCCTCGACGGCGCTGGCGGAGGCGGCGGCCGCAAAGGCGGCGGCGGAGGCGGCGGCGGCGAAGGCGGCGGCGGAGGCGGCGGCGAGGGAGAGGGCAGAGGAGGCGGCGGCAGAGGCGGCCGCGGCGGCGGCAGAGGCGGCGGCAGAGGCGGCGGCGGCGAGGGCGCAGGCGAGGGAGGATGCACAACGAGCAGAGGCAGCGAGGGCGGAGGAGGCGAAGGCGGAGGAGGCGAAGGCGGAGGAGGCGAAGGCGGAGGCTGCGAGGGTGGAAGTGGCGCATGCTGAGGCGGCGAGGACGGCGGCGGCGGCGGAGGAGGAGGAGGAGGCGGAGGCGAGGGCAGGGGAGGCGAGGGCTGAGGCAGTGAGGGGCGAGACGGCCACGGCGGTGGCTGTGACAGCGTCTCTTCACACCTCTAGCTGTGAATAGGCGGGCGACACGGCGGTGGCTGGAGGAGAGGCGGCCGCCTCGCCTTTGGCGGAGAGAGACGCTTCCAGGACACGTCCTCGAGATGTCCGAGACATGTCCCACAGGCGGCGGCCTCGCCTCCGTCCGAGAGAGTGCCGCCAGTCACTAGAGTGCCGCCAGTCACGCCGAGGGCGGGCGGCAGCGCGAGGAGGGCGGCCCGCGAGCGTCGGCGGCGCACCCCGCGCAGCGGCACGCCCGGCGACGCGGCGGCGGCGCGGCGGGCTGATGCGCGGCTGACGCGGCTCGACAGTGCGCCTGTCTCCCCTTCTCGCGCGCGTGTGTCCCTTT